GTCCGCTGGTCCCGTTAGTTTTTATCGACCTTTCCTCTTTTATTCCTGTTATGACAGGGGATTTCACTGCCGCTCTTTACCACTTTAGCGTGCATTAGGCGTTGTAAGGGCGATACGCCAACAGGCGTGTAACGCCCCGGTAGGCGTTGCGTTGCGTTGCACCTTTGGCTCGCCTAACAGCGTGATCAATTGTGGCGTCACGTCAGATTCTGTTCGTCATGCTTCCAGCCCAGAAGTTCTAGGAACTTGGGCTCTTTGCATTCGTGGTACTGTTCTGACCTTGCGACCTTTGATAAGGACGTAAGCGTTACTGGTGCTTTGCGAGTCCCGCCTTCGACTAGCGGAGCGACTCCTATATCTACAACTCCAGTTAGTACAACTCCTGCCCCATTGGATTGGCGCAATGTTCCGAAGAGTTTTCCGAAAGCCCCTCTCGGACTATTGGGTTCCTCTATGTCACGTTTTCGTCCTTCCCAGAACATTTCTTTTGAGTCGGTACCACCTCTGACTACGAGGAGACCTTCCTCTGCCAGAGCGACAAGCAATCTATGTGTCACCTTTGGGATTCGCTATGACTATCAATATGCTCACTGATTCCCAAATATACCGAAGCTCCTACTCACCCTGGTCGTTATGCATGGATTTGGAATCATTGTTATCCCAATTCTTATGGCCCTGGTAAGGTGTGGCGTGGGCATCTCGATGCTCAGCGTGGAACTTTGGTGACGTATGTTATCATTACCTTAATGGACCTTGGGTAATCGATCATGCAGTAATGGCAGGGTATGGCAGGGTTGGTTCACGATGATGTGATCGACCGCCCTTTAGTTGGCAACGTCTTACTCTGCCATGGTATCCTGAATTCTTCCAATTCGGATGATGCGCTATATTTGCCGTCGGCGTCGGCTCTGTTGAGGTATTGTTAGGAGTGTGGAGCGTATCCCCATCTGATCACCTATCATACTCAGTATGGTAGACCTTCGAGTGAGGTTATGAATGGGTGTAACATAATTTTCTGTTGTAAGTGCCATTGTGAGGAAGGGTTACAGAGACTCTTGAGATGCGGGTTTACCTTCGCCTTTCAACCTCCGGGCTATCTGTTCTCGCCCGTAGCGAGAAAGCGTTCACGAATCCTTTTCGCGATCAGCATGGTAAGTTCAGTGGCCTCACAAAAGAAGAAGTCGTCTGCGCTTCCTGATCGCTCCTACTTGACTCATGAACCTTCGGTCTGGTGTACCTTTGGCCGAATTTTAGGACCACCGTCATCTGAATTAACGCGGCCCACGAATGTTCTTCGGTGAAGACCTTGCCGTCTCGGCTGGCTGCATTTGGCGAAAATACGGCAAAATTCGCTACAATTCGTTGCATAATTCGTTATTAACGATGATCACGCTTAATAAGCGTGATCCTGGATATGCTACAAGACTACAGCATTTCCGTTGGTGCTCTTGAGAAGACCTTAGATCTTCATAGAAGATCTTTGTAATGCTGAAGGTATCATTTGTGTTCTTTTTTCTTGTTATTTGCTGTTTAATGTTAGCTCACTGGTCAGACTTTAGTTTTCGGAATGGTGTCAAGCTAAGGGGGGGAGGTATGTAGACCTTTGGAAATGACCTCAGGTTCACTTGCTTCCTTAGATCGCTTGGCATTCCTTAAGCCGGTCTGAGGTAGACAGTTATTCATCGGATTTGCACCTTTGGCTTGCCTAACAGCGTGGTCGATTGTGGCGTCACGTCAGATTTTGTTCGTTGTGCTTCTAGCCTAGGAGTTCTAGGAACTTGGGTTCTTTGCATTCGTGGTACTGTTCTGACCTTGTGACCTTTGGTCACTTGTAGTCACACACACCTAAAGGACTACACTATGGTCTCCCATGCCCAGGCGTATGCAGTACCCTAGCTATTTTACATGGAATGCAAGCGAAGACACGGACAGTGTGTTCCTCGACCTAGTCAATATTGAATACTCCTTTGGGACCTACCATCGCAATCTCTTAGCTCATTGGATGTAGACGAATTATGCATTCATTAGGATTATCACACAGAAGGTTTTAAAAGTCCGTCCACAGTGCGCACGCGAGTCGCTGAGTCAACCTTCTGGTAATAGACCAGGCGGGCGCTGGTCTCTCTTCATGGTGATAAAAAGCCTCTACGAATAAACTCGAAAAACTCGGCCGACCAATTCTGTGCGACGAGAGGTCGCATTAATTCAAATCGCAGGCAGCATGTGAGAGACACCGTATCATTAACTGAGGCAATGCTGATGATCGTGGAGTAGTAGTGCTGTCAAGCGAACTTCACGCCGTGCCTTCAAGCCGCTTCGATCACTACTAAAGGCGCTTCACTGTCCGATTACCACGACCCAGGTTAGTCAATGATCGAGATCAGCTTGCGTCACTCTTGGCGTTATCTTTGCCTTGGTGAGTGGTAATCATTGGCGTCAGAATTGGTTGTATGGTCGTTAAGAGGTAAGGACAGCTTTGGAACTTTCAACCCAAAAACTTCACTTTTCGAGGCACTGAATCACACATGAGCATGACTAGTCTTCTTCTTCCTCTTCTTCGCTTTCTCGATAGCCGATCTCCATGACTCTAACAACGCCATCGCCACCGCCTACAGCTACCAACTCCGCCTCCTTCGGCTTGCCAGAGGTGAAGTCAACTGTGAAGCATCCTTTATCCACACCTAATGGGGGCTTGAGTGCGGCATCAGTGACTGCAGCAGCAGCAGCAGTAGCCAACCTGTGAGTGTGCCCAGAGTTGTCCAGTCACCAGGCTGGTCGTCGGAACTCTTGTGGTTATGCATGACCTTAGCCTCGTTAGAGCCGCTTCCACCAGCACAGATGAACTCCCCAGATCGACGACCTTTGTTGAACTGTGCTGCATACACCATACACGGTTTGGTTACGGCGCCCTGAGGCTGACCAAATAGGCACTGATAGTATCACATATCAGATTGTTGAAGCAGATGGAGTGGTAAGTGAGGAGCCATATAGGTAGAGGGTCGCTCACTTCGCTCGTCCAAGGAATGTCCTCAATAAGTTTTCCCTCAGCATAATCCCAGATCTGCAGTTGCTTGTCGATCCTCCAACTACCCGTGAGGATGCGTTTCCCATCATTGGTGATGTCAACGCTGTCGCCACAGATGTGAGGACCTGTAGACAAGTGCCATCGACTTGTTGCCAAATCACACCAAAAATACCGGAAAACGCACCGGAGGGCGAATCGAACGCCTGCGCCTCCCGACGCCCCAGGATTTGAAGTCCTGACCGAGCACCAGCCCGGGTCACCAGTGCACCATGAGAATTTTATACTACTTTTCGCTACCCCGACTCACCATATATCGAGCGCACACTATGCCCCATTCTAACGTCCCAGAACTGCACCGTATTGTCCCAACCACCAGTAACTATGACATTTGGGTCCTCCTTCGGATGGTACCTATGGACCGCATGCCCCCAACTCCGTCAGCTCTTTCAAACAGTTTACTTGAGGCTGAAGACTCTATTAGAATGACCAGGAGTATGCAAACTATCTCCACCCTTGAGAGTCGTGATCAACGCCTTGGTGTTCTCATCATACACGGAGACTCCCCTGATGCAACGCCCCCTGCAACATGCATCTACTAAGTTGGTCACCTTTCCCTTCCAGCTGTGGCGAACTGACTGCCATCAGCGGCATAGTCCACGCAGAACAATTGATTTCCTTCCTCAGTGACCTCATGTATGCATGCGCCGGTCGCGACGTGCCAGTGTGACACCTACTTCAAATCGAACAAGGGCTGGCAGTCGAGCTCCTACCACTCCAGCAGCATTCACACTGACTAAAACGTTCTGAGACTTTACTGAGGCCCCCATGGGGCGCCAACGGATCTGTGTAACCGGTTGGATTATATCACCTACACAGTCGTGCAGGTCTACAGTACGTACATCGACATACTACCTGTACGACGTGACTGTAACGTGTAAGCCTCCTTGCCATCACGACAATTATAGATTTTGATAAGACCGTCACTGGTAGAAGCGGCCATAAGGGTGTCATCAGGCGAGAAACGAACACAGAAGACCTACCACTCCCCATTGAAAGTCTCCAACAATCCAACAGCTCACCTCAGCCGGCTGTTTGTCCTCCTCTACGGTCTTCCTCTGGCGGCCTGCCTTAATACCAGGGCTGACCATCTGAATCACCAGGGCTCCTGAGGCGACTCTTACGATGAAGCATTACGAATTTCGAAGTGAGCATGCGACTATTAGCGTTCTTGAACTCGGCCTTAGCTCCGCTAACGCCTGATCGACAATGACTATGTCGCATTTCCACCCAGTGGTGAACATACTGCTATTGACTGAAGGCTGCGGTGCGGTAAGTGAGGTCATATCAGCACTAGTAATGGGATGAGCAGGAGAACTATGATAGATTGACTAACAACACACTTTAGTTAGTGGGAAAATCACGAGGTGACTGAGGGTACTCTATCTTCATCTGGTCACTAATATACGGTCTCCATCCCGAGAACACTGTCCTGTTGTCCTCTTCCACACATTCCCAGACTCTTCCTGGAGAACGGCATGTCGGTGTCGACCCCCCACTGCTACCATCCCGAGAAATGTGGTTATCCTCTCTCGAGAGGAACTGTACGAGCTGACCTCAAAACCAATGCATGGAAGAACCGGAGCATATTGGGCGACAATGTCATGCTCTACCGGAAGAGGGCTGGACTGTGGCGAGACACGCAGCACCTGAACGTATTTTGTATCTTGCGCCGCCGCCGCCCATGGTCTGCGTCGCTCCGCTGTGAGTGACCTACATTTTTCAACCTCGACTCATTTCACGCGTGTATGCATAGCAGAACTCGACATTCTTCAGACTACAGGATACTATAGGTCAGCGCCTTAACTACGAAAGAGACTTTGATGCATTCCCTCGACTTGCCCACCAGGCCCCATAATATGTGGCCATCCTTGAGACGCCGCGTAGAACGCGAGGAGTGGAGACGTGCGAGGCGAACTGTTTTGTCTTTCCCTAGGCGAGTCGGCTTGACTTCACGTCTCGTTTGCCGTCGACGAGGATACATGAGGCGTGAAGTCAGTAGCCACTTCTGTTCGCGCTTACGAAGAGTTACAAATCTACGTCGGGGTGAATCCCCTACGAATATCTTGAAAGAAACCGTTTTAGATTTTCCCAGAGTTCAGAGGCTTGTCGAGTGCATGAAATCGTTCAGTTGTAATTTTATATGTCAACGATGGCTGATCACAAGAGTGGAAAGAGTAATAGTCTCAACGACTTGTTTAATGCAAAGGTAGTAATCGGGATGGACGAGAGCCTACCTCGTGAACGCCCTGATTTTAAATTTGGTCCCCTCATCTGGGTTTCCTTAGAGTAGAAATGTACAAAAACCAACACGAATCGTCATCATCAACATACATGAATATTCGCTCACATCATTCAGGTGACTTCCCCTTCGAGTAAGGAAAGTGATGAGGACAATGGTGAGCTCGTCCAGCAAAATGACCTGACCATATTCGGCGCGGACGCTACTATGCTCGGGGAGACCTTTCGTGGCAGCAATCGGGGTTCATCCTCATCTAGTAATAAGCCCAGAAGTCGAACTGCAAGTGATACCACTAAGCATAAGAAACTCAAAGGGACCATAACTGGAGTATTGATACCAACCTGCGAGAATATGTGGGGCGTTCTCATATTCCTGAGGTTCTTCTACGTAGTCGGCAATGCTGGTGTTGGCGAGGCATGCTTGGCCGTGGTCCTCTCCTTCATCGTAGCTTTCTGTACAACCTCTTGCCTCAGTGCTATTGCCTCATCTGGCGGTGTGGTCTCTGAGGGTGGCCCTTATCATATGCTATCGAGGTCCCTAGGGGCATACGCTGGGGCTAGTGTTGGTATTACCTACTACCTTGGCTTTGCTCTCCTAGGTGTACTAGAGTCTGTTGGTGCTATTGATGCATTGGCTATGGCTGTCCCCGATCTCATCAGCATACCCGGGTATCACCAAATATTCGGTGGATCTCTGGTCCTTATCTTAAACGTAGTGGTCTGGGGTGGTATCCACGTAGTCACCAAACTCGGGGTCTTCTTCGTGGTGGTAGTATCTCTGACCATCCTCATGTTTTATGTTGGGATATTCGTGTCACCACAGAGTGAGGCTATACAATTGGCTGGTGTCACCGGTCTCAGCGCATCGACCCTTGGCAACAACCTTGGGCCCTCTTACGATGATGGTGTTCGCTTTGGTACAGTGTTATCGATAGTTTTCCCGTGCTTCACTGGAATATTATCGGGAGCTAATCGTGCTGATGTCCTACGAGATCCACCCAAGAACATCAGAAATGGCACTTTTGGAGCTATCACGATTTCCCTCTTCATGTAAGGAATTTTTGTCACTCCGCGACGCTTCTCAACTGAGCTCAGGAGTTTCATCACAGAAATATATATACTAATTCGGGTAGAAGGGTACAGGAAACAACAAGAATTTCCTAAAATTTTCTCAGAATTTTCATATTGTCGCCCACACGTAGTTGACCATGTGCATATTTCCCTTCAAACTTGGCGATGGTTTTGGAAATACATAGTTCCGCTTGGTTCGTCCACATACCCTTTTCAGGTACTTATCTTTCATGTTCCTTTGGGGTGCTGTAGCCACTAGTGACTATCTCAAGCATGGTCCTCCTGCTGCTGCTACTCATCTTCGTCGACTCGTAGGAGTTGATAATGAGGAGGCTAGGACGATCGTTGGGCAGATCGTATGGCCCCATAGGATACCAGCATACGTTGGTATATTCATCTCATCGGTATCGCAGGCTCTTCAGTGCTTCACAGTGGCGCCTAGGCTCATGCAGTCCATTGCTGCTGATAACCTGCTGCCTCTACTAAGGCCTATAAGCGTACTCAATCGTAAACGAGAGCCGGCCAGGGGGATTCTGGTCACCGCAATTTTGTCTATTGCTCTCTCTATGATTGGAAATCTCGATCTGATAGCACCACTTCTGACGATGTGCTTCCTGGTCTGCTATGCCTTTATGAATGTGTCATGCTTGATGCTCACCTTACTCAAATCACCGACATGGAGGCCCGCTGGAATCTTTAGGAAGCGCTTCCGGTTGTGGTATATAATCTCATCATTCGTGGGTGTTGTCGCTTCCCTCGCGGTGATGATAATAGTATCTGTTTATTGGACCATCGGCGTATTGGTTCTGGCAGCGCTACTTTATCTCTATCTCGATTGGGTAGGAGCCGAAGCTGAATGGGGCAGTGGCTTCGCTGGTTTACGTTATAACTTCGCCCTGGCCGCCTTACTAGGGCTACAGGAGAAAATTCACAATAGAATCAATTGGAGACCTCAGGTGGGAGCAAACTGTATTGTTGTCATCATGTTTGTTATGACAGGTCCTTGTGCTATATCAAGCTGGTTGCGATGCTGCTTATTCGGATGAAGATCAGGAGGAGCACACCCACTCGGGGGCGCGCTGTCATGATCTGCTTCGTTTCTATGGTCAAATGAGGAAGGGCCGCGGCATGTGTATAGCCTCGGCCATAGTCGTAGATGGTGACGATAAGAGGGTAATACAGTACAGTGAATCTAGTCCCTTAGCGTTCATCTCAGGTCGCGGCTGAGAGGAAACGGGTTGCCGAAGTGATGGCTAAGGAGTCTTTACAGGGCTTTGCAGATGTCGTTGTAGCACCATCATTTGGGGAGGGTTCATCGTATGCAGTGCAGTTAGCTGGAATTGGAGGTCTACGGCCCAACTCGGTCCTCTTGTCCTGGCCCTCGGACTGGCAGGGCCATCCTGATGCTGCATATGAGTTCGTACGGCTACTACAGTTTGCCACCAATACAGGGAAGGCGATCATGTGTGTTAAGAACATATCGTTTATGCCTGTGGGGGAAAGGGCCATACCTATGAACGGCACGATAGATGTATGGTGGATGATCCATGATGGAGGCTTCCTACTACTATGTGCTCACTTCCTCAAACAGCATAAAGTGTGGAGAGGATGTCAGGTTAGGGTGTTGCTGGTCATGGAGCACGCGGACGATGAGGCAACAGAAACTGCCAAGAGTAATTTGAGGAAATTGCTGAGGGCTCATAAACTACTAGATGATGTCGTCATTGAAGTCGTGGTCCTAAACGATGATGCTATGATAGAACCTTATACCTATGATTGGACGATTAAGGTCACCAACAGAGGGGAAGACTTTGCGGCCAAGGAGATGGGCTTCAAAAGAGTAAGTCGAGTAATTCGAGATTTCACATCGTCGTTATTCATGCACTAGCTGTAGAATAGTTCGTTGGCCCTTAGTGTAAGAGCGCTCGTGCGATAACGTAGTCGCGATCATCGGTGGCGATCGATAGAGCTAGTATAAGAGCCTCAACTGTGTTTATATATAGAAAGTGTATTTGTGTTTGTTTTCAGCAAAATACTCTCCCGACCAGTCTAGATGATCTCTTCAATGGAGTACTTCCAGGGGAGCAGCACCAAGTGGCCTCCAGTCTGCCGCATCACCCCTCCCGACAGAAACGTCGTGTACCAACCATTAAGGCCTTCGATGAGGAACTCGAATGGAGCAACGAATCAGATCTTTTGTCCAACGTTCACAATAAGATTCAAGAGCGTCGAAGCTACATGGACCGCCTAGCACAAGTCAACGCCTTCAGTTCGAACTCCCAATCCGGCAATTCCCTCAAGGTCCCGTCTGGAGCTGCTTCCCAGCGTCAACCAGTGGCTCATCCTAACAGCGCAAGGCCGTACATGAGGATGAACGCAATGATAGCGGAGCGAAGCAAAGACAGTGCTTTGGTGATGATGAATATGCCGGATATATGGTCAACGGAGACTCAGAAGGATTGTGCCTCCTATATGGCCTATTGCGACTGTCTTACCAAGTCGCTTGATCGGGTTTTGTTACTACACTCTACTGGAATGGAGGTCTTCACTCGCTTTTGATAGTCATTCGGCACCACGGGAATTGTGTTAATATCTGTAAACATTATTTTCGATCATTTCTTGAGGTCTTGTCGCGAAGAGCCATCTCTCGTGCTGGGCCTCGATGACAATAGTAGAGTCTTTGTTGTTATGTTATTCATGCTTTAAGAAGCGGCATTATTAGGCTTTTCAGAACTATTATCGAATGAAGCTGTTGTATCATTATCATCATCAGCCCTCAAGAGGCCGAAACGCATCGCCTTTGTTAGTCACAGACTCGATGGCTTGAGTTCGTCAATTCCTACATACAGAACACTTTGCCCGAAGCGTTACCAGTCGTAGTTCAATGGTGTCCTAAGGAGGTTGTGGTTACAGCTAGCGTGTGTAATGCTAGGAACTCGATGTGTTCTTGTCTGGTTTGGTCTTGGGATGGTCTCCGACTTTAATGATTCTCCATTGCACTCGAACATAGTCGTCTGGTCACATGGTTGCTCAAATACTATCAGATGTGTATTGCCACATATATGGGAATTCGCGTATGTTGTTTCCCTCGATGGCATTGACGATGCTTGTCTCCACCCATGCTGGCAGGCATGTATTAGAAGACTTCCGATCATACCAGGAATTGTATTTGTTCATCCATGGTAGTCCCATCGTCGTCATCGCCTTCACTCGGGGATATGCTCGGCCTCTGTGGGCCAGCTCATGATAAAGCCGACTACTGGAAGCGGAGATTCGAGGCCTCCCAGAATGAGATATGGCGTCTCAGAACAGCACCGCCTCCCGAATGCTCTGCAGAGAATCTGTGGTTACCCATGCTCTTCCTCACGATCGGCTTGATAGTTGCCGTGAGAGTCGTCACTAGAAGGGATAGAGCCGGCAGAAAAGCACTGTTAAAGAAAGTTGATGCTACGCTCAAGAAGAGACTCAGCGAGACTCCCCGACCTCCGGCAACCCGACTGGACACCAGCCCCTCGGTTGCCTCGCTCCTTTCTACCACTACTATGACATGTAAGTCTTTCGTGGTCTCGCCTGCTTAGGTTTGGTGGTTTATAGGTCCGTCGATTTCGGATCGAGGAGATCTGTCACCCAAAGACTCAGTTACAATCGCTAAGCAAGAGGAGTTCCTCCGAGGCCTCTTTGGTGACTACGAGAAATTAACGCCCACGAAAGCTAGTAAGCATATTCTGTCTTGTTCTCGCCTTGATTCACGCTAGCAGGGTCACGCTCTGGAACATCGTGTACCGAGCGGTCATGCACGGTCAACAGTTCTGCATCATCAGAAGATTCGAATGACGATTAGGTGAATATTGTGAATGAAGATTTCTCACTAACACTGTCAACTGCATTTGTCTACAATTTCTAATGATATTGATATGTGCATATCGATCAATCTACACCAATTCATACTTGCATCCTAGCGTGAACCACGGCTCTGCTTCTAACACATTCTGGTAAGCGTCTCGTTAGTTTCAATGCTGGGAACGCTTACCTTAGCTATTGTGAATGCGTACAGTATTAGAAAAGAGACAGAATAAAGAGCCCCTGAACAGCCTTATAGTTGCTATTGCATGATCTTCAAAAGCCTAATGTTTCACAGAAAGGCACCTGTCGCCTTCGCTTGCATATCGGAAGACACTTGTGAATACCAGCCTGCGTTCGATAAGTGGAATACCATGCTGTCGAGAGGCAGGACTGAACAATATAGTAGAGGAGTCCGATTGAGAGCTGACTAAACGTGTTGCCTTGTAGATCGATGATGCTCGGAAGGGCATTGGTGTCTTTGCTCGAATGGGGGATCGATGTCAAAGTCGTGCCTATCAGTGTCACACCATAAACTTCGTAATCATTCTCACACACTATCCGCATCAACAGTTGTGTGACCGATCCCCCTCCTATTATCGATATGATAAGGGAGCTCGAAACCGTAATTGTTAGGAGTGAATTTCTGTCAACAGTAGCCACGCGATTCCCCAGTAATCACCGAAGTTGGGGACGACCATCACAGCAATTTTTTCTTGACAGGTGTGAGAGACGGTCTTTGGCATCCCTCACGATGATTCCGGGATGTCACCATAATAACGCTGAGTTCTCGTCTTAACCCTATCTTTGAGAGGAACTCTAAACCCCTGGCAACCTTCCATGGGACTAATTCGCGAGCAATGAAACGAGTCTACTCTACGTGTCTGTTTTTATGGTCATTCCAGAATAGCTATGGCAAGCCTTTACGCATCGCTTGACAATAATTTGGAATCGCGACTTCTGTGTCGTATTTGGAGTGGATACACGTCGAACGCAACCGCCTCACGATCATTTAGAAGAGAGCTCATTGTTCCAACAAAGTGGTAATGACCGATTGCTTGAACATTGACCAGAGCTCACGATGAGGGGAGGTGCACGAACCTCTCACTTAGAAAAGTGAATAACAAAGTATAAGATGTGAGTCTCAGACACTCTATTTAGGAATGTCTAAGACTTCCTAGCGCTGCAACTATCAGCCTAGTATATATGAGGTGTTCGAGATTTACTCCTTGTCTGCGAAGACGAAAGAAGGGTCCGAGAGGCACTTTTTAATCGAAGTGAAATTGTAGTCTGCAGGCAATATTGAGTTCCCCGAAATAGTGTCAGGGAAGTCGAGTTTGTTCATGCCACCCATACAGAAGATGGAGTAGAGAATAACCCAAAGATCATTCTCCTTCTCGGCACGCATGAGGTGGATGAGCGTGGCCTCATCAATGTGCTTCTCAGGGAAGTCCTCCTTCGGCCAGAGCTCCCGGACCAACTCGATATTCTTTGCTTGAGTGGTGGGATTGATCTGGAACTGCACATACTTGTTGATGGTTCTATCGTCAGTAGCAGCATGCGCAATCATCTTGCCTAGATCTTCTAGACTGTTTGTGAAGAATAGAGCGTGCTTATCACCAAAGCTCATGAGAGCTCCGCTGTTTTTTAGTGAGGGGAGGAAATAACCGAACAATCCGCCGTTGAGAATAGACGTCCACTGCAAACCAGACTTGGCAACGAGCTCTTGCATCTCCTTCTTGGCATCAAAGAGATCAGCCAATCCCCATGGAATAGCCCCAGTATGGACACCGAACTCATCAGGACACAATCGTTCGACAGTGCCACTCTTGACTGCAGCATTGATGACATGGCCTTCGACATCTCTGATTACCGCAGCAGAACCATGCATAGCACAAATAACAGTGTCAACCTTATTGTCACGAAAGACGGCAGCCAATGCCTCTTCATCTTTTTGATTTGGAACTTCAACTACCTGAAACGATACGTATACTAACAGCGAAGGGTTTATAAACTGACCTTGGCACCGGCCTTCTCGAGCTCCTTAATGATACCCTCTTTACTCGAGATACTACGAGTAATGGCAATCACTTTATGGCCTAGCTCCAGAAGAGCAAGACTGATGCTCTTGCCAAATAACCCGGTGGCACCGACAACGGCTACGGTCTTTTGAGACATTGTATTAGAATCTGTATAACTTAGGCTAACTGCCAAGTAATATGAATGGAGACAGCTCCTCGCATTGCATGCACGTGCGAGGAGATCCCGCCGGGAAGTGGACGAGGAGACAGTCCCTGCAGCGAGTTGATCTGCCTTCTCAGTCTGGGGCCCCTGTGTGGGTTAGCCTGTGTGGTGAACTTCAGGGTTAACAATAAAGTAGAAGTCAAACTTCCACTTCAGCCTTATATTTGGTATGACAGCGCGTTTCTGGAATGTCGCGAACAGTGATGTTGATGGCTCTAGGGGACACTCCATGGAGAGAGGGCATGTCCCGGCCCTGCTACCCTAGAAGCGGACTGACTTGCAGATGCAGTGGCTATAGTTGCAGCCAGGCATAGGGAGAACCTAGCGTACCGGAGTATACGGCCAACTGCCTGCTGGGGGGGTTTACGACACTGTCCAGTGGGGGCGAATAATGTGATTGACGTTCACGTGCGTCACCGACTATCGTGGCTGAGAACCAATTCTGTCTATCCTGTAGCGTGTTGAACTCTGCGAGTTATGTCTTGTTTCGGGAGGACTGAGCGTCTGTACTTCCCTACACCGCGGGTTTTGGAGTCCTGCTTGGACACTGGCCCACATCACCATTGAAACTTCCCTCCATAGTGGAGTCCCAAGATTTTGATTCAATTTAGTCATGGTCCTCATTAGGCTTCGCATTTGGACAAGTCCGTACAAAGTATCGATTCGAACCATCAATATGCATACCCCATCCTGCTGTACTCTTGAAACAACAAGAAGAGAGCATGTGGAAAAATGATTGAACTCAGCCCTTTATATATTTCGAAGGCATTATTCGCAACGCCTTCTCCACAGAGGTGATACCGCACGATTACTCTTGAAATGAAGAAAGGAAGCTCGACCCATCCAGAGTTGATCATTGCCGCCCATAAGGTGGGACTCTACGGGTTCCAGGTTCGATTACTTCCATTAACTGTGCACACCTAGACGACACTTTAAAACTCGGCACAACAATGAATACCTTCTTGGAGAAACCTTCTTCTTCAACCCCCAGAGAGTCAATGGCTGTTACACAGTCGACAGTGGTAGGTGAATGATAACCGGTTGTTGACTTAGAAGAAGAAGCCAACGACCTTGCCACCAGTGTGCTTACGACGGGCCTCTTCGTGGTCCATGATGCCGTAAGGGGTAGTGAGCACGACGTGACCGAACTGACGGGAAGGCAAGAGATCGGAGGCCAACTAAAAAGGGATGAACATAAGAGCGACCTCACTAGTAATAGGACCATGAGTATAATACCTGTTCCATGTCGCCGGTCTCGATATCGAATCGGGGGGATATGACACCGCACTTGTTGATACGACCGTTGAGGTTGACAATGATCTTGCCGGCACGATGATCATCGACGATCTCGAAGTCGCCAATGTAACCTGAGAGCAGCAATGACTATAGAAATGCTTGATCGGCATCAGTTGTTATTACCATTCTTTTGCATAACCTGCAAGAACTTGACGATGACCTTAGAGCAAGGTCGGACGAGGACCTGCCTCTTACCGGCCTTCTCGGCGTTCAAGATTGAGTTGAGGCAATCACGTAGCACAGACACACGTACCATCTAAAGAAGCCAATTCGTCATCCATAACACCAATTACTCTACTATTTATAACTCGACTAGGCTCTCAATACAGCGACATACGACACCAAACGAGCGCGACCACCGACCACACAGGTTAGCCTAGGCCTGTACTTAGACTTCACACATGCATAGTGATATAGGCAATCGATTGAACCGCTTCCCAGCACTACCTTGGCAGGAAGTCTCCGAAGGGGTTGATGAAGAAGGATTTGCAGCGATTTAAGGGCTAATCGATCAGCTTGGCGGGCGAGAATCTGCTCCGCGGAGCGAAGTGAGTTTACTTTTGCGAATTTTGTCGGAGCTGCTGGGCATACTGGGAAAATCAGCTGGGCAGAGAGCCTCCGTCATTGCAGTACAGAACCCCACCGTCGCCGCGTATACTCCTTTGTCGGGAGCCATTAAGAAATAAAGAAAAAAACTCCCCCATTTTCTGGAAATCTTCCAGTGTTGTAGCTACGCTCATCGGCCCTCGATGAGAATCTTATGGTACGCTCCCCTAGATTCAGATGAGGTTCCGTATTAAAGATACATTTAAGGTCCCTCAAGTAGAGGATGACTTTGTCATTATAGTTGTATACGTTACATGAACCACGTACCATCTACTACTACTACGAACAATGCCACAGCACCTTTGAACGGTTCTTCTACCTCGAAGAACTCACAGGCCCCTGCTGGCACTGCCGCTAAGTCAGTCTCATTAACACTACCAATAGAGTCATTATCACCACGTCATAGGTATGTCCCTCCCCATAAACGCAGACAGATGGAAGCTGAGGGTGCCGCTCGGGTCGACACTGCCCCACATGTGAGTCGCTATTGAGAGTCCTTTCGAAAGATACAGTACCACTCCAGCACGGCACACGTCATATTGAAGAAGCATTCGGTCAATCAGCAGCCTTCACCAGGCAAGTATCTTCCTCGTCCAGCAGATATGGTGGAGCTAGAGACTCTTACTCGTACTAATACGACTGAGTAGTTGAACTATCATCTCGCTTACCTTTGTAGTGGCGGAAAGGGTAGAGAGCAATCCCGTGAACAGCATGGATTCGGTACGATGAAATTTTGAACTCTGATTGATTTTTGTCACCGTAAGGTGCCGGATCATCTCGTTTCGGTGCTCCAAGAGAGTCCCGCTTTGGTGACCGCGAACGTTTTGGATTCGGATCGAAGCCAAGGTGATAAGGAAGAGGTTGTAGGAGTTGTGGTGCAAAGTATATCATAGTTACGCTGGCCACTCTAGAGGTGCGAACGACAGGCTTGACTGGTCTCAACCACCACCACAAGGTAGGTTGGTTAGAAGGGCGGAGGTATATAGATGGATGATGAACTAGGTGATGGCACCTGGGCTCGACGAGATGGGAGGAGGCCAGCATACGAGGATGAGAGAGAGTTATTCGATCAGGAGAACACTGTTCATGCTGGCATCAATTTTGATCAGTACTTAGTCTAATCTGGGTCGGCAATGGTAGGAGTACTGATGGCCTTATCAGATACGATAAGATCCCTGTTGAGGTGTCCGGTGCAGGGGCGGCTGAGATAGCTCCTTTGGAACAGTTCAACGATGGTGAGGTTGACTCGCATATCGTAGAGAATATTAACAGGTAGTGGGGTAGTAGTAGGACAAGGAAATGTATGATGTTAAGCGCAGGTGTGGCTTCGACCGTCCTACTCCTGTACAGAAGTATTCTATTCCAACTCTTACGGCTAGACGCGATCTCATGTCATGTGCACAGACCGGAAGTGGCAAGACTGGTAGTACTAACTCCCAGCAAGATTGTGTCCAACATCTGTCCCTAGGTGCCTATCTCATCCCCGCGATTCATAACATGCTTGTTGATGGACCCCCTAATGCTACTTCTAGTGGTGACTACGGCCGTAGGAAGGCTTATCCCGTCACACTGGTGATCGCAAAGCTTGGGAATGTTTTCAATCCTAGTTGCCCGTGGTAGATTCTATCGCCAACCAGAGAGCTCGCATCGCAGATTCACGAGGAAGCTCGAAAGTTCTGCTATAATACTGGTAAACAAACCTCTCAAGTAAAACTATGACTGCAGCGACATCATAGGTATTCGTCCTGTTGTCGTGTATGGTGGAGCAGATGTCCGTACTCAGCTACGAGAGCTGGAGAGGGGTTGTGATATTCTTGTAGCTACTCCTGGTAGATTATCTGACCTTATGGAAAGGTATTAAAATGCTGCTTCGCTCCGCCTGATGATTACAGGGGTTGCGGTAGGTTTCGTGTGTCCCTATGTCAAATAAAGATGCTCATCTTTGATGAGGCCGATAGAATGCTAGATATGGGTTTTGAACCACAGATTAGGCGTATTGTGGAGCAGGAGGACATGCCAAGCTCGAGGGACGGCAGACAGAGTAGAGCGGCTAGCTCGACTCTCAACACTAAGGTGGTTATGTCTCTAGTCAAGGTGCAATGTTCTCGGCAACCTTCCCGAAGGAGATTCAACAGCTTGCCCGAGATTTCCTTAAGGAGTATATCTACCTCACAGGTGGCTGAGTCGCTTCTTAGTTTACTCGTTAGAGTTGATATTTCAGTCGGTCGTGTTGGGTCCACCCATGGCTCTATTAAGCAGATCATGAGGTGTGTGTAAGGTGGCCTGAGGCTAGGGTTTTAGGTTGTCATTGTGTAGATACGTCGATGAAAACTCTAAGTTGAGGGACTTGTACCGAGTCTTGGAAGAGCAGACTGAGGAGGGGTTGACTCTGGTGGGACGGCGGCCACTAGCTGAGGTGGTGTTAGAGCTATCTCGTTTTAGGTGTTTGTTGAGACCAAACGTAAGGCGGACGAGATTGAGAATATGCTAAGAAGAGACAGGTAAGCAGCCGCATGTGAGCTGGGGAGAGTTAGCACTGCAGGTACCCGGCAACCTCTATTCATGGTGATCGATCCCAATGGGAACGAGAAGAAGCTCTTAAGGCGTTCAAAAGCGTAGGAGTCGGGCTATGTGGGGTAGGGGGGATGGTCCCTTTAGGGAGAGCTGCCCATCTTGGTGGCTACTGATGTTGCCGCCAGAGGTTTGGACATAAGCCACGTTAACCTCGTTATTAACTACGATCTTCCTAATAACATTGACGACTACGTCCATCGTATCGGAAGTAGGAGGGGCTATTATCATAGTCGGCTGATGAAGTTGTATTGTTCAGGGACGGGAAGGGCTGGTAACTTAGGAACAGCTATAGCTTTCGTTAATGAGGGTAGCAAGCCCATCCTTCGGGACCTATGGGTGAGTGTATATGTGGCCTTCGTTTGTGTGTGGTATTCCATATTTTACAGACTTTACTTGAAGAGAACAAGCAAGAAATCCCACAATGGTTCACAAGTCTAGTACAAGAGACCACTAGTGCTCCTGGACGCTTCGGCAGAGGTATATTCACTGTTGGTATCTTTCGTTGGTAGTGCTGGTGTAGGTGGCAAGGGTAGAGGTGGAGGACGTAGTGGCGGTGGATTCGCTAGTAGAGATGTCCGTCAACCTACTGGTCGTGGAGACTTCCAACGATATGAGCACAGGAGTGCGGGCTTTCTCGGCAGGCCTGGTGTAGCGCCCCCGGCCCCAGTGTAAGCATTGGAAAGAGCCTCACTCTCTCGCACTGAGGATCTATACTACACTGTTTTCAGGGTAAACACTCGCGCTGCAGCGATGCACCAGAAACCTGCTGTTAGACCGCAAGCGGCTCGAAGTAATAACAGTTAAGTATTCATACTGGTTACCGTATCGTTCTTGTCCTTAGCCGTTACTCCTCCTGAAGACTCGTGGGCTGATGCTTGGTAACTTCCAAGTCACTGTGATGTTATTATTGATGCCACTTCTACTGCTGCTGCTGCTCGGTTTTAGTCATAACTGTCGCCGTGTCTGTCGGTGAAGTCTCCCTCCGTTCGGCTAATGCCCTTTTGTTGCATTGTCAAGTAGTTGCCTGAGGCACGGACGATTGATCGGAATCAGTTAATTCCGAAGGAACCTATTGCGAGCTAATTGCGAGTCTGGAGGGTCGATGTACAACAGAACTTTGTTTTCATTTCGCCATCCACGGCCTCGTGAGTATAGATGGGCCGAATGACGGACGGTTACGACTGCTCACTTGCGGTTACGCTTTGAGCCCCGAGCCGTAAGATTACGGCGCCGTAAGCAGTCTCACGGACAAGACGAGGATTCGCCATTCAAGTCGTTTAAATTTATTGCATATGAATGCGCGTGCGTAGACCGGCTGAGCAGTTTCGGGTCAGCCTGGGGGTAAGACGGATTGTATTTGAAAGGGAAACGAATGGTCAATGCGAAACCAAATGTTACACGCTCACCGGTTTGGTTGCATGTGGGCCACCAGGAGTGAATTCAACGACTATTCCAGCTACGGTGGGGTGCCTTACAGCGAACCTTTACGTCACAATTCCAAAACGGCGGTTCAGCACAAACCGCAAAGTCGTAAGCCCTTTCCGTAACCGTAAACTACTCACGTGACGCACACCGTAGCGTGAATCGTCAAAAACCCATGACGATGCCCATCTATAGTTTCCATGAGCTAGCCTCGCACCAAGCTCCTTGGTCGATGAAGGGTCAGATTGTGCGCTCTTCCTGGTTTCCTCGATTGACGAAGGCGTGCAGACTCTAGATGGAAGTCCTTTTGACATATCGAACTGTCCCGCGCGTAGGGGGAGGGGCCCCGGGCGCGCGCTAAAATACTCCCATGTACTCACAGGGAAGTTGGGCGGATGCGAAGGCGATTTCGGCCAATCGCCATTCAATCTTCACCATTTTCACCCTCCTGGTACATACGGGTCTGTAAAGGCTATATCTGGCCTCGGAATTGTGGTTTATGAATTTGTTCATGAGAAATAGACCACGATAATTTGTCAATTCACGTTTTATGCGAAAATGCGCCACGACAATCTTGCGTTGTGCAACGTCGGAGCGATGCGGTCTTTACAAAAATCTTGTTTTGTTCAAGGGCGGAGCGATGCGTTCACCATAACAATCTTGCGTTGTTCAACGGCGGAGCGATGCGTTTGATACAGATTTTGTGTGGAGAGCTGGTGTTGGTCGTGGGTTCGAATCCGGGTTTGGGTAGTTCTGGAAATTGTACTGCGAGCTACGTAGCAAGCGTTCGTAAGTCTAGCGGGGAGTTAAGCAGGTTTAATACTGCCAGCAAGTGGGCCGACTGTGCTGGGGGCCCCGCCACGCGGGGCAGCACAGGAGGCCCGGCCGAAGGCCAAAGACCGTGCGTAGCACCCCGTTGTCTCCCACGCCCCATCCGGGCCGAGGTTGTACATTGTGTGCCTGAGTGGTCTAGCGGTAGATCGACCCATCCAGAGCCCACCCTCAGAGGCCGCGGGTTCTAGCACCCCCCGTAAGGGGGTTCGTGCTGCACATCCGCTAGGTGGATGAAACAATTTTTCGCCCTTTTTTTTCAGGGCGAGGGCAGGGCCCCTCCGCCCGTTATCAGAGCCAATTTATACACATCGAAGTTGGTACGTAAATAAGTCTATTTCGCGATCTACCCATAATATCGGGTCGAGACTAGTACCAAACGAATCCTTATCGAATTTTAGGAACAATGGCATCAGCCGTTTTCTGGTTTATAGCTTGTGGTAGGAGCTATAATCGATTTAAGATTCTCCGTTAGGATGTCCGCTCAAAAATCGTCACTTGCAATCTTAAGGTGGGATTGGTCTAGTGGTATGCGCCGCGGCTGACGACCGGAAGGTCCCCGGATCGAATCTCGGGTATGATAAAATAAACTTTTTATATTATTTAAATATATCACTATGTTAATTATTCTTAGATCTATTTCGTGGCGCGTGAGAAGTATATGCAACTTTCTATACCGCTATTCCCGATGTAATGATATGAAATGTCGGTTCAAAGCTCATGGCTCGGCTGTGTAGGGGACCCCACATAGTGGGGTCTGCACAGCCGAGCCGGCCGTAGGCCAGACTCCTCACGTAACCATCCCACTCAAAGCTGCGCAGCACTCAAGTACGGCAGAGGCCGTACAGCCTAAAGGTCGAGCGGTCAGCCTCACACCCGTGAGGCATGGGTTCGATACCGGTCGACCCCCCAAAAAGGGGGAATGCTAGCGCAGCGCACATGCGGACACCGCTAGGTGGACAAGTCACTTGTCACAAGTGTGATCGGTGCATGTATACTAAGGCTGCGGATCGGTTAGCTATGCTCACCGCTCCTAAAGTTCCGCGAGGTCTGATCGACGGGGGTCAACGGGTGAAACACTTGACGATTGACCATGGCTTCCCAAGTAAGGGATGGCTGGCTCCCAATGATCCTCAGCTCACATGTTTCTTGGTCATCACCGACGCGTCCACCGGGTACTGTGTCGTTGTCGGTGCTCCATCCACCGCTACTGAAGTTACGTGGAAGCTGTTTTGGGATCGTTGGGTGTCTTAATTTGGCATTCCTCTGAGTCTCATGTTGGATAATGCGTTGAATTCTCAGATGATGCGCCAATCGTTGGCAGCCATTGCTATTCAGTACTTGCCAATTCCTGCAGACACTGTCGCGTGTGGAGGTACCACTAAGACGACCTAGACAGTCGCCTCCAACGGTGATCGTGCCTGTCTTGACTTGATTTCCTCATAGGTGATCTATCCGTGTACAGTTTGCGGCAGGTTTACGCCGCACAAGGCTGTGCGGAATCCTGTTCATTCCTAGCTTTTTACGTGAGGTACGCGAGTTGATCGATGTTGGTAGAGCAGAAGGGCTCCAGAATGAGGGAGACTTCTGAGGATCCTTTCTTTCGGTAGCATCAGGAAGTGATTGAACTTCGATAGGGAGTTGTAAACATCTTCGGATGACTAACACATCATCTAGCGTTGATGCCAGTATTGGGTTGTTTACCAGTGGTTATTGGCTTGATCAAGGAAACGCTACATGTTTAGTAACTTTTCATCTCATCGTTTCCATCAATGTGTAGATCGGACTGCAAGTTGGTGATCTTGGTCCTGATGATTTCGATGCCATCAGTGTTCGCCGGATCTCCCGAGGGCCACTTTCTCGGATATCAGTTGGACCCTAAGTATCTCCGAGTGGATGCACTTTTTACCGGGGAAGGAGAATCTATAAACCTTCAATACAGTATCGTATGCGGCGCTACCCGTAAAAGGTTCGAAGCAAGGTTCAAAATCGAACTGTTGTCCAGCGAAGCGAATGCCTATACAATCTCGTCCCCTCTACACACATATGGGGATCTTCTATCCTTTTACAACAAGGAATGCGGTCGCACCCCAGCAATTGCTCCTGATTTCTCCATCTTCTACTACGACGAATTAGCTGATCGGGTCTCGGTTAAGTTCCAAGGGCCTGGAGGGACGAAGAAGACGCTTAACCTAGAGTTTGATCCCCGTTTTGGCACCGTTAGCTTGGAGGGGTCGAGATGGCCTCTCACTGAGGAGAGTCTACCGTAACATTCCTTTTGGCATCTTCGTTTAGTCCCGTTAGATGCTTCATCATAAATCCTTTATTCAACATCCACCCGTGGATGAATGATTATTTCTTTTTTTTGTGCTTTTTATCGGAGGAATATTTCATTCGAGAGGATGGATATATGATCATCTTTTAGGGGCCTAGAGGCCATACATTGTTCTCGGAGTATGCTGAGCATGCAGCTGCCCATACGAAGGGTCAGTTGGGCATATCATCGAGCCGATTCTAACGTCGCTTTGGTTGTCTCAGTCGAGACATGCTGTATGCGCCATCGAGACATGCTAATCGATAGCGTACAGCTTTTGAGGTTCTTATAATCGAGATTTACAGACTCTGTCCCGATTGCTCTGTCGCGTTCTATCAAGTGACTAACCGTACGTAACATTTTGCTACACTATCTTGAGACGCAAGACCTGCGAGAGGGAGGCGTCTCCCTCGGTATGCACGCATTACATTGAATCTGGTCAATACATTTTGGTCTAGTCGGACGAAGCGCGTCAATGTAACGAATACTTTTGATCCAGTATAGGGAATATGGTCGTACTGTATGTGAATATGGTGAGTGATTCATTGTGGTATCTGTGGTAGTGATAGATACCTGTCGGTTGAGGATCTCAGCATCCTTCAACTATGGAGCACTGTGATGTGGACCGAATCCCTGTGCTCTTTGCGATGTGGAGATGGCATAATTCATCTCTGTATTTCATTCAACATTTGAATGACTGCGATCTTCTGAAGTCAAGGAGCTCCTTCCCCACAGGATGCTGGTCGACGCGTTCAACGTCAAAGAGTTGGTAGGTTCGCGGGTGAATGACAGAAGCCGCGTCTAAGACGCGACATCAGAGCTGGTGACAGTACGGCGAACAACTTGGTTTGTGTTTATCAAGCTGTTCGCACCATCGGATACACCCCAGAGTTGAGAGGTAAATTCGATGTTGAGAATCTTGGCATCCATTCCTGTATCAATGTCATGGATGGATGAGCTGAATTCATGAGTGATAAGCCGCATCTTTCTGCTTCCGAATGTCATTATTGTGAACAATCTTTACTGAACATCGAGTCTCTCAGTTTCATAGGATCCCCGCGTTCATATTGTTGACACACCTAGTGTATCTCTCGACAAGTTCAAGCAATGTACAATGTAATCGTATTAACCGTACAAGGATGGCAATGCTCCTCTTGTTCTTACCGGCGTTCAAGTTGTCATAAGCAACTCGTTTGTTCAAACTTTGTTGGACTCAACCGTAGCGAGGAGCTGTATCTTCTACTTTATCTTCTTTATCGTGGTGAAGGGGTGTACCGGTCTAGACGGAGTCCTCCGAAACTATGCTGGATGTTCATTGCGGAAGCAGAGAATTCCTCGAACGTAGGTTGATCAGCGAGCAAATCACTGTCGATCACACCAACACTCCGAACATCACAGAAACTCAACACTCATAATGCAAATACAAGGGCTCTGAGACGGAGCCAAGTCACACCGGTTGAAGATAAAGTTTCGCAGCACGCTAAGCTGTTGAATCTCGCCCCCCCTTTTGAGCAAAGTTGACCGAGGTCAGCCAAACTCGAGGGATGCTAGGAGACGGTCTCCGGCGGAGACCTCATCCCCGGTCGGCATGCCACGATTCGATCGATCTACTGAGAACAGGTTGGCGAGATCCATACCACCGTCGCCCTCAACGATGCCACCCGTACGCGAAGTCTCCTGGGTCGTCACAGTAAGCCTGCTAGAGCCTCTACCGTCCCGTCGCCGCATCGGCTGGTCCAGAACTTTCTCCCCTAGGAGGAAGCCGATGAGATCGAGAAAGGGTGAGCGAGGACGGATTCGAGCACGCACACAACATCAGCAACCGTGGACAACAACTGGGTTTTGAGGCTTCAGTTTGCACGAAGTTAGTCTATACCCTACAACTACGGGTTCAGCATAGTGCAGATCATCGAGACCCAGACCTGAGATCTGTTGAACTACAACCAGGAGTTCGGCTCTCCACCCAGCAAGTCTTAGGAGGGCTGCTGAGCCACGACGGAGAACATGTTACCACGGGCGATGCTCTCTGCATTTACCGAAACATAACTCATCTCCGACGACTCTTGACTGTACACGTGCATACCATGCATAGCCTATCACCGCGAAAGGCTCCAAGGCTCCTCCAAAGAGGAGGATCGCTGCAGCTGCATTCCGTAAGATCCGCCGCATGCCCAAAGAAAAGAGATTAGACAGGAAAGAAAATCATATCGTGGACCAACCTGCAAACTTGAGATCAAGCCTTGCGACCTGCCGATTTCGATTTTTCTGCCGTGAGATTGAGAGGCATCCCATCATACTGTGCCTGTAATTGAGTCATTACGAGTGACTCTATCTAACGCTATTCTGCGGGAAGGCACAATACTGTGAATCTCCTTGTGGTCGCTGAAGAGCCTGATGGGCCACCGGTGATAACGGCGGGGAAGAATGAATGGTTCAGCAACGCCGAATATCTGGTAAAGTGAAGCTTCGAAGAACCGCTACCACGTCGCATATCGAGTGGAAAGAAGGAGGAAAGTTGAGAATGAGCAGTGCTCATTGAGCACAAATGATGGCAATTCGATCTTCATTCATTCACGAAGATCATTGCATTATCGTTGCGTTGTTGTTAGCGAACTGATAGTGAGTGAACCTGGCAGACGCTCGGGTGCTCGACGGCAAAAATTATGAACGAGCAGGTGCTACACCAGCAGCAACGGTAGACTGCTCCTTGGCGAACCTCTCACGGACCTAATTCACATACGGAACTGTTGGACCCGGAAGAATGTATCACGTTGCTCCAGTCGCATGGCAGCCTTGCACCGTCCGATGGCCTCTGATACGAACAGAAAGACTGCCCGGGAGACCAAATATTCGGAGCAGGAACGAAGAGCGGCGATTGAGACTTGGTGGGTGAAACGTCGAGTATCGCTTTATCTGCGCTCGGGATAACCTCGAAAATGTAACTTCTCCTATCAGGGAGAGGTAGTCTATCGTCTCCGCCTTCATCGATACTCTCTTCTCCACCACTTCCATCGTCAAACTCTCTTTCCCCGCCCCCCGTCACCACTCTCTACTTCTCCGCCTTCCTCACGCTCTCCTCCCCCTCCAACATCACTCTCTTCCTCCCCATCGTCATCACTCTCTCCGGACTCAGCAACATCCATGCTACCATCGGCATCGTAGAGATCGTCCCCATCCCCCCTGTCAATCTCATCGATAAGCGTTCTGTCGTGGAGACGATCGGGGTCTGGAGAAGACACAGATGCACCTCGCGCAGAAACCCGAAGGACTGAGAGGCTCGAGTCAGTGGACTGTTCCGTTACCTCGTTCACCTTCGTCAGAAGCCTCATCTGTTGCATCAACAGAGCTCGACACGGTTTTCGGTCAAGTTCGGGCGAGTTTTGCACATTCTACGTTTTTTTCGAGCCTCGACGAGTCTCGAAGAAGGAATTGGCATGGTATGAGCAGTGTGATTAAGACACTCCCACCGCACGTGCATGAGACTTGTGACTCTAGATAAAACCCTGCTCGCCAGTTCCTGCGCGCATGGTGGTACCATTTAATGGTTACTAACCATCACGAATCGTAATTTACGACGATCTGAGCAGTCGCCTCCAATGGTGATCCTTCCTGTCTCGATTTCTCCATAGTTGGTCTCCTCGTGTATGGTGCGTGAGAGGTCTAGGCCTAAGAAGCTGGTTGTGCGGAATTTTGTTCATTCGTAGCATTTAACGTGCAGTACATCACGTTCTTCACATACTGTATGGACTTCGATAGGGAGCTGTAAACATCTTCGAATGACTAACTCATCATCTAGCGCCGATGCCAATGTTGAGTTGTTCACCAGTGATGATTGGGTTGAGCGAAGAGACGTTACTCCTGGAGCACACACATGGCATAATCAAGGAACCAAAGTGTGGTTCCCGAGTCCCCATGTATTCACGGCGTGGCACCTGCCAGGTGTCACCTAGCAGTGCTAGGCTAGCACCGGGTACGCTGAGTACTCTCACAGATGGCTGAGGCCTTGCTGCACTATAGACTAGGAGAACAATGGTAACGAAAGGTACCCCTATTGCAGTGAGAACCATTTGCGTATCTTAAATGCTGGTCTTCCTACTCCCTCTCGCAGCCGTCACTGCCGAGTATGCCGGACTCCAGGCGAGGGAAATGTTCGAAGCCTACAAGGAGAAGTAAGGAGTCACTTCCTTGGCCGGTTGTCAGATCTTGGAGAGCATTCTCGTCTGGCCAGATTTGGACACGACTTCGGTGCACATGATGATTTCCGTATGAAGATTTTTGCAGATAATCTTCGCTACATAGAGGAAGAGAATTCTAAAGGTGGGGTCATCCGGTTGGGAACATCTACTCAAGTTGACATGAGAGTACCGCACTACCACTGCAGGTCTGTCCTACACGCTCAAAGTCACTCCATTTGCTCACCTCACCAACGCTGAGTTCAGAATGACGAGACTCGGAAAAGTGGGGAAGGAAAGAAGCTTCACCGGTAGCGCCAAGCATTTCAGCTATTCCTCTATCACTGATCCTGAAGACCTGATCATCCCCTTCTGTGCAGCTCATCCTTCAGGAAACACCTTTGGTTATGAGGGCTCCGTTGAAGACCTTCCAGTGGTTGTCAACTATGTTACCAAGGGCTGGGTTACGGGTGTTAAAGATCAGGGAAAGTGTGCCAGTTGCTGGGCCTTCTCAGCTACTGGTGGGATTCTTCGCTAGTCCGCGCTGATACTTTCCGTGAATATTCTCAACAGGTGCCCTCGAGGGTCTTCACAAGAATCTCACTGGGGACCTCGTGTCACTCTCGGAGGAAGAGTTACTCGACTGCAGCTTGAGTTATGGAAACGCGTATGTTCCAGTTTTGACAAAAGGGTTTTGTAGCTTGTCTACACAAGATTCCTCAACCTCTTCAGGGCCTGTCAGGGTGGTGAGATGTATGAGGCGTTTCAATACGTGAAGGATCACGGGATCGGTTCAGAGAAGGATTATCCATATGAATCAAAAGACATTCCAATCTTATTCCCGATTCGTTTTCCCTGTCGAAGCGATACTACAAAGGATGTCATTGCGGTGAGTTCAGCAACGTTAATCGACTAGACTGCTGATCCTTCTGATCTTTAGCCCCATTCTATAAGCTATGTGCACGTGACGCCGAAATCGAAACCATCACTTCTGGCAGCGATAGCTGTTATTGGACCAGTTAGTGTTTCTGTTGATGGAGGGTCGCCTGCCTTCCAACACTATGGTGGAGGGATTCTGAGTTGTACGGTGGCATGACACTGCTATGATCCCATATGAAACGACTTTTCGCTTTCAGCTAATTGCTCGACGATGCTGGATCACGGTGTTCTCGCAGTTGGCTATGACCTGGAAGCAGCTGAGCCGTGAGTTCTCGTCATCGCACTCGACAACGCGCTGTTCAGTTACTATCTTGTGAAGAACTCTTGGGGAGCTGATTGGGGAGAGAAAGGTTACATCAGGATCGCCATTGACGATACACCCGAGGGTGAGCCTACATCTTCAACGCATTTTAATGTTCTATATCTCGCAACCAGATGGATATTGTCAGGTCTGTGCGGCATCTTGCTCGATTCAACCTACCCCATTGCACCTCGAATGCACTACTAGACGCCCACCATGTTCGGCCCAGTGAAGCATTCTTGGCAACAGCTCTTCAGCAGCTTTGCGAAGTCTCCCGTGGTGGTGTATTCTTTACGGCAGGGATCGTGCTTTACCTAACAGGTGTTCTTCGTGGACCAAGCGGCCTCCCTACTCTTTCGTAAGGTCCACACACTTTTTATTCTCCGTAGAACCTGCGCTTCCGCATTAGATTACAGATGTGATGCTCGTCTTTCCTTACACTTTCCGAATCTTCTCCTGGAGATTGGGTTCGTAACACGCGAGATTACGACTAGCATGGTCCATCAAGTTTACTGACTCTCTGCTTAATCATATCAGAAAAAGTCGCCGCGCGAGAGGGATAGTCCTGATCCGAGACTGACTATCAAGCAATTAATAATTCGCTTCTGCACGAATGCACTGTACAGTACGCTGCGGAAAAAACCTCCCACCTGAGAAAATGCCCGAGAGAGGTGGGCCACATCTGATAATTTTGTGGCTCGTGGAAAGTTTTCACTGGAAACTGGTGGACGCATTACCCATTCTCTTAGCAGAGCTTGATGGATGACCTGACCCGGATATGAATGGTGCCCGTCAGGCAATGGCTGAGGGAATCGAAACCTCAATGGCTGTGATGTGACGAGGAGAAGCCCCGCTTGCGTGAGATTTCGACATTATGGGCTCTGGGGAGTGACCCTGAGTTTCGTTTATCTGCCTTGTGCTCAATGGCCCGGCCATAGACCACGGCCAGAATAGCCGTGCCGAGTAAACGAGAATGCTCCTCGGGACTGGTCGTCCTCGTCTGATATCGGGATTTTCCAACCCGCGTACAGGGGCTGCTCTCTTGATTGTCTCAAATATACGGGTCTAAGGTTTAGGAAACCTGCGCTTAGCGCTCGCTAGAAGATTCGTGACTGTCGTCTATGATATTATGACAGCTATGCTGCGGCTCCCTGGTTCTTTCTCAATTATATATCGCGTGGAGCTTTCCACTGGTATCGCCTTGGGGCTCCCCTCCAGACGTAGATCGTCCATCATTGATCTGTTCGTGAAAGGCGACTATCACTCAGAATTGATACAGCAAGAGCTCTCACTTGTGATCATCGCCGGGATGCCTTTTAGTGCCCACTGAACTGTTTATGTGGGAAGTTTAGTGCTCACTGACAGTGGGTCACTGTACCATTTCAACCTCGTAAGAATAAATATGTAACTCGATTGTGCCCGATGAGTTTCGCGCGATGTGCTTTCTTAGCTGGGTAGGAACTTCCGTGGTCCAAAAGTGGGTCCAGTTGGTCCAATAGTGGATAATAGATCAAATAGTATAATATGTCGAGCTTTCATCCTCGAGCGAGCGACTTCCCTATAGGTCCAAACCTGGTTTGGTCCAGAAGTGGGGAAATCGCTGCTGTCGGGTACAACGTCGGGTACGAACGACGTAGCGCTCTCCCAAAGTAGCTTCCAGGCTATAGCGGCCTAGACGTCTATGACTTACTGAAGCCACTTCGGCACAGAAGATCGAGGAGGGGTGTCGGAGACTCGACGTCCATCTGTGATCTGACTATTATTGATCGATGACAGGATTTGAGCCTGGGTGACGCCGATGATAAATCTAGATTTTACCATTTCACCAACAGGTCTAGTTGAACTAAGATGCTAACATAACGCATATACTATCTGGTGCGTACGCAACTGGAACGACACAACTGCACGACGAAACTTATATCACGGTATTTAGAGCTGACTAGGTTCACCACGTACACTCCGAACCATATTCTAAGATGTGTGGATGATATGTGGTTCATCGAGACGTACTAATAAGACACTCGGTACCAACCCCGGAATCAAATCTATGATGATAACGGGAATGGGAAGATGGGGGGATGACAGGAGCAAAAATACAACGAGCAATAGACTGATAGAAAATGAGCAGATGTGAATCAAAAATTCACACTAGCTATTATGACGGGCGAACTGATAGCTTCTGAGAAAATTGTCGCTGTGTGCAGGCTTGCTGCCTACCGAACAGGGACCGTCGCAGGGCGTCGTCTTGGACCTACATCAGACGTGCTCGTCGGTACAAGTGTTGTTCCGCCGACTGGGAGGTAGACGATCCTTAGTTGGGGTTCCTGACATATGTGGGACACCGCTCCAGTAGCAATGGTAGAAGTGAGAGAAAAGTGAAGAATGTTACGCATGGATGTATTGTCATTGATAATTTATCACACGAGCTACCAGTGTAGGGGTGGTTAGTAGTTAATCTAGACACTTCTTGATCACCACTTAGGGGGACGTGCTAGAGTGGTAGACTCGATCTCTACTTGGCACCGGGAGAGCCCCGACCACCCCTACGCGACGATGACTCGTGAGAGAAACCCCACCATACTCCAAGGCACCCGCTGAGGGATGTACGAGTATAGGCAGAGGTGGTCAAGGCTTGGCACCGGCTATACCGAACCGGTCACCCCCAGAGACCAATTAAGTGGCCTCCTCAACTATCATCGGAAGGTACTCAGCGTAACTTGCGCCGTGACGGGGCGAGCGCGAAGTCGCGTAGTCTCTGCATTTGAACAAGGTTTATCGAAAATAGTAGCGGAAGTGAATCTATCTAATGGTCTTTTCGTCATTTGAGCAGGACTGGCTGAGGTTGCTGAAATGTGTATCTTCCACACTCGTTGGCTAAGGAACCATACACACTGTGTTATTTTCTCTCATCATAGGTCTCACCATCAGTTGCTATTCACCATCGTACTCGGATGACATCCTCTGTTGAACCCTTCGTCTATCTTGACTATAACGCAACTACGCCGGTGGACCCAGAAGTCGTAACGGAGCTGATGCCGTATCTGGGAGGAAAGGAGTTCGGCAACCCTAGCAGCTCTCATCTCAAAGGACGGTAATGTGAGTGAAAAGATCACGAAGCTATGAAGTCATGCAGTATACAAACTGGAAGACTTCTAGTAGAAGTCGTTCAGTCGTCGTTCCTATAGGCATGCGCATACAGCGGTTGATATGGCTCGGGGGAGAGTGGCAACGTTGCTCGGCTGCGATGAAACGAGTGTAGGTCTAAGGATGAATCATACCAAGTCGGATGCGTTCGAATTGCAAACATGATCTCAATGAATCAAGTTCATGTGTCATGTGTAGGTTTTCTTCACCTCGGGAGCTACTGAATCTCTGAACTGGGCAATCAAAGGGGCGGCATTCCAACAACGGAAGGATAGTGGTCGGAACCATATCCTCATCAGTGCTGTTGAGGTAGAGGTATGCCTCTCTCTGACTTGTCACGTTGGTCTCCCCATCTCAGCACGTATGTGTTTTCAATATCGTGAAGTGGCTAGCCAGTGAGCACGGCTTCGACTGTGAAGTGTGTCCAGTGGACAGTCAGGGCCGAGTGGATCCTTTGAAGGTGAAGTCATTGATACGGCCTGGGAAGGTAAGCGACATACCCGGTTTTGCTCTCTATAGCGGATCATATCGTCTCTTAGACGGCATTAGTGTCAATCCAGCACGGTAATGCCGAAGTCGGGACGGTCGAGCCAATAGCCGAGATCGTGGCTGCGGTAGAGGAGGTCGACAGTAACGTTGTCGTTCACACTGATGCAAGTCAGAGTGCTGGTAAAAGAACTCAAGGCTTGTAACTAGTTCAAGTATATTGCACGTCAGGGAAATATCCGCTTTCTGTCGAGTCTCTGGGCTACCCAGATCTGATCACTCTAGCTGGGCATAAGTTCTATGCGCCTAAGGGGATTGGTGCATTGGTGACTCCATCTGGTGTCACCATCGAACAGCTCATGCATGGTGGAGGACAGGTCCCCCCATGATCAAGCCTTTAGTGGATAGAATAGATTCGATGATTTCAGGAATTCGGTGAGAGATGCGGAACGGAGAACGTCCCATGGATAGTGGGATTCGGCAAGGCGTGTGAATTGGTACATAATAATCTTAGCGTCTATATGGACCACATGAGGTAAATAACCACCCAGTGTCGGTGCAGTGTATATAGCTGGTCTAAGCTCGTTGCGTCGAGTGCTTTTGGAGGCATTGAAGGAGGCCGTCACTCTTGAGGCCGGGCCGACTGCATGGGAAATGATCTGCGTGAATACACCGCTCAATGTGAGTCTCAATCGACGATTCCTTCGGAAGCGACCATGGCCCCACAGGATCCGACGTGTCCAGTGTTGGCCAACACTCTGAGCATCAGCGTGAAGGGCATACAAGGGGCGGACGTTGTTAAGGAGCTTGGCGATAAGGTTGGTATCAGCGCAGGTAAGGGTGAAAGGCAAAAGTGTACAGTGTGAAGACATACTACCAGGCTCGGCGTGCCATAGTGGCGAACACGTAATGTCGTCAGTACTCAAGGCTATGAAGGTTGAACCAATATGGGGTCTTGGCACCCTAAGATTCTCCATTGGTCGTATGACAACAGAGGAGGAGGTGCTCAATCATTACTGACAATTTAATGTGTGGAGCTGACTTGTAGGTACGACGGGCCACTCGCATAGTTGCTCGCGTTATTGCTAAACATTTGAGTGATGGTGTCGAAGAAGACACGTTTCAGTGATTGCCTGTTTCCTTGTGACTCGGCTGTCGTGTTGCGCGCGTGGATGTAATTTGCACTGAATGGTTCGTAAGAGTGCGTTGTATATGGTAGAATTGGACGAGCACATGAGTGCATACTATGCACTGCATAGCATCTTTCCCAATTAGACTGGGGGTCGATCTGAAAACGACTGATGAGTTTACATTCTTTTGTTCGTCCAACTCCGACAGGGTGTGGTTGTTTTGATTATTGCGGATCAGTATGTAGACACCACTCGTGTGAAAGGAATAGAAAAGAGCGGAGGATCCGTGCCCAGAGATACCCTCACAACACAGCAGGACGACGCAGGTTTGAAGTAATGGAGCTTCATCATTCTAGAGAAGAGAATCCCTGTTGAGGGAATTGTTATGATTTGTAGATTATAAAGATTTGAACGGAAGGAGAGTAGAATACTCCATCATGCAGATGTATGGATTGACAATTCAGCTCTAATTTCGGAATTGAATGAGGGAGCGGTCCATGACCGCCGCATGGAAGTCCCGAACTGCTTCAGCTATATAAAAGTGACACGATATGAATGAGCTGTCGAGAATCCCGATTCGGAACTAATGCATTTGTGGGCACCGAACTAGCCCACAATGTGATGATCCAAGCTGCTCCGCGGACAAGAATGGACTTCGTCCACCTCCCTGCCAAACTCAACAGAATGCACAGTTAGGCTGACTTTGAAAGTTTCAAATTGAAACTACTGCCAGCTTCGACCCCTGAGGTTTCCTTAACCTCGGCAAGGCATCGGATAAGCAACCACTGATACAATCGTTCTACCAGCTATTTTCGTTATTATTGGTTATTGTTGTTGAACACTCTGTATCTTTGGTTTTTGCGGCTGGCCTCAGGAAGCCGTTCCTCAGAAGCTACTATTAACAACACGAAATATCAAGCAGTTCAGAATCACCGAGTCAGCCAGCAAGAGAATGCCGTGGCCTCAAAAGTCAATGAAGAAACGATGAGAAATACTCATTTGGCAGAGTTCTTCTCCTCTGGGCAGTCACTGTCCATCCAAATAACCGCACCTAAGTCGTATTACCTACACGCGAACCCGGGCCTGTAGCCACTTACGTAAACTCTCCCCCTTATGCATCAAGTCAAAGCCCTTATTGATGTCCTTCAAATTGAAGTTGTGAGTAACATAAGGATCGATATCTCGCTCGCCCCGAAGATACTCCTCAACCAACTTAGGCACATCAGAACGACTTTTGAAGCCACCAAAGGCCGTACCTCGAAGGCAAGTTCGTGACCATCACAGTGACGGATCATAGGAATACCTTTCCACACACGACCAGTGACCAGCTGGAAGGGACGAGTGGCGATCTCCTGGCCAGCACCCGCGACACCGACAATGATAGATTGACCCCAGCCAACATGACAGCATTCGAGTGCACTAAAGGGAAGCCCTCAACACTGTCTGAACTGCTGATCCTGTCCTTACCTTCGCATTAACTTCACATTACCAACACACTCGAAGGAGTAGTCGACCCCACCCTTAGTGTATTCCACTATCACCTCCTGGATAGGCTTATCACCATAATCCTTGGGGTTGATGAAGTCAGTAGCCCCTGAGGAGCCACAATAATGCATCAATGACCAGCATCCTGAACTCACCCATTTTCCTGGCCATATCTTCCTTAGCTGGATTGATGTCAATCGCAATGACCTGCTTAGCCCCGATTCTAGCAGCCTCCTGTATAACAGCCAAGCCAACACTTCCTGAAAAAACACACCCTACACCAAGTGAAAGCCGAGCCTCCTCCTACCAGTGCCGAAAACAGCAACTATGCTGCCAGGCTCAACCTTGGCTGTATTGGTCACTGCTCCCCAGCCAGTAGCCACACCGCAGCCCAACAGGTTCACTTTATCGAGTTTATCTCGGGCCTCAGGAGTTATGATAGCAACCGATTCCTCATGCAGGACAGTGTACTGACTGAACGTCGACGTGCCTGCCAACCCATCGACGTGAAGCATCCCGTTTTCAGTATCCTACCCATATAGTGGTAAAGGGGCTCTCCAGTGCGCTTGAGTGTAAACCTAGTTCCATTGTCACAGGCCATGACGCCAGCCCCAGTGTATGCACGGATCTTCCCGCAAAGATTCGTCTTGCCAGCCTTATACCCTCGGCACCTAACACGCAGGATGATCGTCAAGATAACAAGAAAACATCTTCGCTCCGCCGACCTCGGACATGTATTCTTGTCCTGGTCCTCATCAAAACACTGGGCCTGGTAGCAAGGGATGACCACATCCCCTGGCTTCACCGGAGACCTGCAGTTCGGCCCGACGCTCTCAACAATGCCAGCCGCCTCGTGACCAAGGACACAAGGGAACTTGCCCTCTGCGTCGTGACCAGATAGTGTGAAGGCATCAGTGTGGCACTGACGATATGAGCGAGGAGTGGTATGAAATAATGAGCTGTCACTGAACACATACCAGAGCAGTGTGGGTGATTTTGACTCGAACCTCGCCAGTCTTAGGGGGGGCTACAATGACCTCCTCAATGTTCAAAGCATCATCCCAGTATCTACTAGCACGATAACACAGCCACCAACTAGTCTATCGTACTCCTCCTTAGGCTCCAATGCTACTGCTGCCAGACAGGTGATTGGCTTACCAGCTGTAGTGGGAGTGGTCATCCTCAATAACAACAAAAACTGGGATAATGCTGCTGATCGAATCAAACACGATGAAGACACTCCGGGCCAGGCACACAATCCCGACGACGAACCAACACAACGCTGTCTCCTTATCCCTGCATTAACTTCATCATGGACATATAGCAGAACGATTCGTACTTTTCCAAAAAGGATAAAACTTTTCAAACGTGTTGGCGCTCTTCAAATGATCCGTACCACGTATTGTGAAGCCAACAGCATGAGCGACTGTGGTCTAGTCCCAGGAACATTTGTAAAGTTAAATGGTCTCACACGATTGTCAGAACAAAGACACTTGGCAGGTCCACTGGGCCTCTACTACACTGACTACAAGGGCAATATATTAATAATGATATCGAGGCGGATGAAGGAAGACATTAAGGAATTCTCAATACGTATTCCGTCGAGACCTGCTCAATATAACCCGTCACGATGATGGGAGTCCCACACATTTAGTGTCCGCATTTGATCTCACGGGCTGAACCTTCCGAGTCGAAAATTTCGACTCGAAACTCCCAATGATGATGCGGATCTGAATAATTTCGCGGCGCGTGACATTTCTCATGGGCGCTTCCAGTGGAAACGCTCATGAGAAATGAGCCTTCCACTACTCCTGGAGTAGTACTTCATCACTAGCCTCAGCACGTTACGTTAAATCCTCATCACCAGGGTCTCGATCCAACTGCGGGCATGTGTGCTGTTGTTGTTGTAATCTTCAATGTAACGAGGTATCTGATAACACTGCTAAAATAACACTCTTCTAACTTGGTACACCCATACGACGATTGAGATGACCGAGCTGGGAAACTACCGCGCGCCACAAAATCCTCCCCGCTCACTCCGTCCTCTGATTTCTCCCGCCATATCCCGTCTGGTGTTACTGTTGTTGATATACTTGACTGACTGGTGACTGAGGACCATCAGCCAGAATACTCGAGTTAGTCGTAGGCGTCTGCAGTACAGCTACTGACGATACATCAGTTATCACCATCTAAGATATTCCACAGGAGCATCACTCAGTGATAAAAGGTCAATCGCTCATCCATCTACAACGGTGCGATCCTCTAGCCGATCCATGAGGACGGACAGAGGATAATAACACCATTCAATTCATCAGAGATGCACATCAAGACGAGTCTGCATCGCTCCGTCTACAAAGTTGCTAAAAAATCCTTCCGATGCCGGCCGCTGGTGGTACTGCTATTGATAATACGGTCCATAACTTCCAGCAGCGTTATCCATATTATTCCCCCCTGTACCATTGCGACGACCTCCCTTACCACCATCCCGACTGCTGTGATAGGATGGCAGATACAAGGTCATTGGCAGATTGAGATGTAAAATGACTCGACAGAAGGATACGACGCGTGAGCGACTCCAACGAGCCAAACAAGATATCGGAAAGAAGTTCTTTCAGAGAACCAACCTCTCTGAAAAGCATATCAATTTCTAATGCTATCAGAAAAGCTGGTTTCCTCGCTGCCGTCACCACCTAATGGGTGGCACCCATCAAGTCTATCGACTTGGCCATACTTCCCCCTTCCACTGACCGTCACATCATCTCGAAAGCCATCCCCCGTCGACCTCAACTCCGTCAACTCTCCATCACCATCAACGGTTCGCCTCACAAGCGTCGGTGCTCCTCCCCACTCAGTATCACTTATGGTAGGTAATGTCACATTAGTTGTTACATTAGGTTGGTAAGAGCATCTGCAACACCACCCATAACAAGGATATCTTCGAGTGCATTCTCGGTCATAATAAGAGATCAGAGACGATCAACCTTCTCTAGCGGAACCTCGGCCGAACCCGGTATATACACTGGTTCGGTGTCTCGAGATTCGTAATAATCTGATCGAAAACAATCCAACTACTCGTTATCTACGTATACGAAACAAATTTTATGTTCATCAAAGGAGGAGAGATATGCGTTGACCACCTGGAGGCCCATCTGTTTCAATCGGATAGCAAGTCTATCTATCCGAATCCAACACAAGCTCGGTACTCAGCATAGAAAAGGAAAATGGTTGTAGAACATCGGCGCACCGTCGATTTTCCGCTCTCGCTGACGAATTCGCCATGGCAATTCACAGACTTGGAATTGCGTATTCTGAATGAAGATATCTTTGGACGGACTGCATGGAGTTTCATCCACTCTTTTCATCAGTGCGAATCTTTGACATGCCTGTTCTAAGATCAGACTTATCCTGGAGTCAGAAATGTGTCTTCCAGAAATTAGGCGGAATTTCATCGCACGGCAACGAGTCTTGGCGATTCTGATTCAGAAAGTTCGGCGCCCTTCTACTCTTCTAGGCGGACAAGCCTAACTCGTTCGGCTTTTAATAGAGAAGTAGTCGTCTATGTAAGTCATGATGATCACGGCGAACAATACTCGCAACATATGTGTGAGACTCTCAGCCACGCTCAAGTAGTCAGTCGCAGATGTCACAGCGCCGAATGGCAGTACAATGTGTCGGAAGCACTGTGGGTTACCGTCTACAACTTCTCGATCCAGGAGTTTTCACTGCGTGAATACAGCACTTGGGAGCCAGCTAATCCAAACGTCAATCCATCTCCTGTGCTGAATGATATCCACCAGAATGTGAATATGGAAGATGTTCACTTGATATTTCAGGTCCGGCACGATATCCAAGCAAATGACTTACCACTCAGCGATAAGTCACTGACTCGGTGTTGTGACGCAAAACCCAACAATAGTCATGATAGAACCAGCCTACCCGGTAGATCTGGGACCACTAGATAGTCCATAGATATCGTATAATGAAACATGCCAGTAAATGCAGGAGTATGTTTCCAGGTAATGCATCAAGTTTGTGCCATTACCTGCCTGACAACATACGCGGCGTATGATACGCCAGGGACATTACTTCAACAAGGAACAGAGCTTCTGCCAAGGACGGAGCACTCAAAGGAGTAGTTTCATCGCACTGAGTTTGTGATCAAATTTAAAAGCGACAAACTCAAAACTCCCCTGTTCGTACCGGAGTTTTCATCGGTACTGAATAGCAGAGAAACAAGATTCTCGTAACAAGAACTCACATGTTGAAAGGCTCACAGGACCTCCGTCGGAGGCTCCACGCTCTCCAGAGAAGGAGCTTTTCGACTCGGAAGCCAAGAGGTACTGCAAGGGATAACGAGACAATCTCCCAGAGTGATTAGGCTCGATGAGGAAGGAGAGCAACTGATTGAAAATTTCTCTCAGTTGCTCTCCTTCCTCTGCTTGTATTCCTCTGTGAAATATCACGTTGTTGAGATATACGCAGAGTTGTCGTACACCAGCGAATGACTAGCATCTATCAACGACGACATGAATCAACGTCCCGCGGCGTGACTCCCGCCTACCGCTTGGAGAAACATCATTATGAATCCAAGCCTCGAGAGAAATATCATTCACACAGCTGGTAAGCTCAACACAGACGTGAGTTGAGTCTCCCTTGTGAGAGGAAATTTCCCGAAGTATAATAATACCCTCAGCGGAACGAAACGATCGAGTTACAAATCGAAACATACTACCACCTCAATGATAGAGAGGAGTCCTTCCTCCAGTGACCTGGCTGAACGACGGTTGAGGTCAGTCTCGGGAAACTTCAATAGTGGAAAAAGTCCCCCCCCCTCGACGTCCTCCATCAATCGAGGATAATAGAAAAACCCCCTCGCGGGTCAACTTACCAGCATCGATATTCACGCGAGAAATATCATGGAAATGACCCAGGGAGGACAGCCATTGAACCAAGCTAGGCATACTGCAGACACTCTAACTCAGCACGGTGAGGGGGATGGTCGAGAAACGGCAGTGGAGGGATCTTAGGCCTTAGTCATTTTGGGTTCGTGCTTGCCGGTCTTGCATTTCGGGAGCGCCATGAAATCATCCCAGTCGTAGCTACGGGCTCCGCAGCATGACCATTCCTTCTTCAAATCATGGAAAATAGGCCTGACAAAAGTATATTCCTAAACAGTGTGCAGCTCGTGGCATCCAGACGCAATAAAACCTTCAACAATTGCCCATACCACTCCTCGCCTACTTCCCATCATGATAGTGGCAACAACCATCAGCATTATCCTCGGGATCATACTCCTTACCACATCCAACATGACAACAACGATATTTGCCCGATGCTGTGACCTGATAACAAAATCTTCCGCGTGCGCAAAGATACTCTCCCATCACTTGTGGCTTCATATCAACTTGTTTCTTATCTTCCTCCTTCTTCTCCTCAGCGATCTGCACAGGCTCAGAGGAATCTACTATATTACATCGATCATGCTAAAGACGATAACGTTCTTACCCTTCTCACCACCGTCGATCCTGACTGGTGCCGAAGAAGGCATCGCAACACCCCCAGCAGGCTGGTCGATACGTTGAGGGACCGATGACCTCACAGAACCAGATACCTGATCCTCAGGCTTGGCTTGACCAATACCTGAAACACCCTCACTCGGGATCGAACCCGAGACCTCTAGATATCCCAAGACCCATTCTACCTGGCTTCACCGGCTTAACATCAGTATGTTGGCCGACAGCGCACCCTGGTATTTGCATGAATTCATCCCACTCATACTTAACAGCCTGAGAGGCAACGTACTCTGAGGTCAAAAGTTAACGATTGTACCCCGCAACACGTCCATGTCTTCTTTATATCTTGGAAAACAGGCCAACCGGGATGATACCGGCACGCCTCCGGACCATTATCAGCGTCAATGTATCTTCAAAAGAGAACACTCACAATAAAACCCATCAAAATACATCGCTCCGCCATCACAATGGAATATTTTCTCAGGTCTCTTGAGAAGGTGTCTTTACTATACGGCCGCCCAACCCACAGAAAACAAAGGTATTACTTTTTCCCACAGCCATGATGCCGGCACGTCTTCAATACATCCTTGAGATCAGTCATGAGGTTTACTATAAACAACAGTAGGAACTACACCCTAGTGAGCTCCCCTTCTTTAACATGGAACATGAGGACATCGGCCTTATAGATGACAACGTTGCCAATAGTGGCGCTGTGTAGATCTCGCTACGCCCAGCTGATCGATTACGCTCATGCTCAATCCCACTTGAACTCAGCACTTCTGGCAGCACAGTCAACTTGTAATATACTCATGTTCATGTCTTGTTCGTTTCCATCATGCTGCCGTAACTTCTCCTAACAAAACAAGACCTTCACAAGACTTCCCGCGTAGGTTCGATCCCCGGCGACGTCACCTTCTCCCATTAGTAATAACCAACATCCTCTTCCCATCCACCTTCCCACGTTGTGGTGCCTTATTAATAGCCGGCTTGAAGGTACACGGAGCCAGCTCTTCCGCCTCCCTTTCCAATTCCCTCAGTTTCTGTGCCTGTATACCACTACATTACAGTATCTCCTATCACCATCCTACCTCAGCTCTCCTCTCCCTCTCCTTAGACACCCTCCTCAAATAGTCACTGCCACGTTCCACATCCAGCCGGAGCCTCCCAGGCATCTACGAGTGCTGATGGCAACAACGAAATGCTGGGAAACTCTCGCGGGTTTTTGTACACTCCTACCCCAGGTCGTATTTAAACTCTCTAGCTCCTAAAATGTATTCCAAAACTATTCGCATGCCTAGTCGAGACCGATTCAAATCTCCCACCCATACCTCCATCAGATACCCCTGAGTGACCCTAACAACACTGTCCTCTGATCTACGCCTTTCCTCCTCTTCCTCTTCCTTCTGCAGTGTATATGCCAATCGCTGTATACTATCCCTCCTTCTATCCATATCATCATAACATCGCTCCGCTGCCTACATCAACAACCAATCCCTCCAACTCCTACTACCCAACCCCTACCGTTCTAGAAGGGATCCTCCTCGCCTTAGCCGTGACCACAGGTACCTGCCCACCTACCTGCTTTCCATCACTCCTACCGTAACAAGCCTACGAATGGATGAGCCATCTCCATCTCCCTCAACAGTCCTTCCCTCGACAATGAATGCTTCAGCTTCACTCGCGAACCCACTTTAGGTATCGAAACGCGTCGGGATCGACTATATAACAAATTGCTCCATACGTTCACAGGCCTTCCCTTCTACTCGCATATCCTAGGTTCATGCGTGCAGTCCGCCCGAACTTCCCTTTCCAACTCCCCAAGCCTTTCCCGTCGCCGAGCATCACGTTCATTTTGCCGAGTGAAAAAGCCGTGCCTGAGCTAGGCATATCTTAGGTTCCACTCTACAAGATACAGATGAGGTCCCCTCATAGATCTCTACATTATATGCTGCATCTCCTCCTCACTACGTTTGCTCATACCAACCCTTCCCGTGGGCATACCATCACTTTTCTCCCCATCAGCCAACACCCTCCCATGAGATGCTAGTCGATCGAATACCTCAGAACTCCAATACCAAGCTAATAGAGCCAACCCCCCCCCACATTAGTCTGCATATACTCTCTGGCATGCCTCATGCTCCTCCTAACCGGATTGGTATACGGCTTAAAGGCACCTTCCGTCCCAACAGACAATAGTGATGATGATGATGCTGAATACAATAATTAACTCCTTATTATCAACCATACCACACCAATCTCACCTCTCCTACTGCTATCACCAAACAGCCTACTGGATCCCCTCCTCTTCCGCTGTGACCTTCCTATATCCGGTGTGAAGGTGCCTACTACTACCGCTCTGAAACATACAGGAGGGATGGAAGCCTACAAGCCGCTATCTCCTTCTCCTCCTTCATCGCCTCCCCCGCTATCTCTCGTGCTTTCCGGCGCTCCTCCCACGCCTTCACCTAAGTACATTTGGAATCTCAAATTCAACGATGAAATGAAGTCGAAGTCCTACAAACCCGTCATTTCGGGAAGGAAAACTTTCAATTCAAAGTTGAATATTCCATGCGCGTATATTCAAAGTGCGACGAGGAAAAAAATTAAAATTTCACAATGATACAAAACCATACATGGAAAAGAACAAAAACCCGAATCTTCGAACTCGAAATAGAAAAGTGATTAACAATTTATCCGACAAGCCATCCATCACTACATGTTGCGGTCCCATTTTAGATCCCCTACGGCCAGTCGTAGTGGTCTTAGGCTTAAACACACACTCCTTCATAGAGGCCTCCTCCTTCTCCCTCCTCCTCTCCTCCAACTTCTCCTCTCTCTTCATCAGCCATGCCTCATGACGGCTATACACCGCTGATGGTGATGATGTACTCCGCGTTACACTACTGCACGGTAGCCTCCCAGAATCGACCACTACAGTTGGCGAGGGCACTCCTGATACCATCAGCATCACATGCGCCTCACCCGCATCAACTACCTTCCACATAAGGACTAGTATCATCCTCCGCTACTACTAAGGATATGCTATCCCAAGAGGAAGGAGTGACTTCCCCCGATGACGATGTACTAGAGGAAGAGGCCGTACGCCTAGGGTCGTCATACCTGGCATTCCAACAGTGTCAACCAAACCATAATTAGCTATGTGCAGTGATACTAGCATCATAATGCGGATCCACTGACCACATCCATAGACTCCCAAACGCTCATGCAGAAGAATATAACATTTCACTCTGCAAAACGATTCCCGTCCGAGCTACTACCCCCTCCCTCCTCTTGCCAAGCCATGATATTGAGCTGCATAAGGCCCAGCTGCTGCTGCTGCTGCCGTAGTACGACCACTAGAGGTAGTCCTAGTAGCCGTCGAGAAGGAGGAGGAAGAGGCCGATAAGGGACGGTAATGACTATGATACGCACGGCTGAGAAGAATACACTTATCAAGGCTCTCCTTCTCCTCCTCCTCATCACACCTAGGGTCATCAGGTTCAAGGTAGGACCAGTCCGGTGAGATGGACCGTCGCCGCCGAGCCAGACCATTCGAATGCAATCTGTGGCTCCTATGGTAAACCTCAGTCGCCAACGCGTTAGCAGAGTCGAGAGACCTCAATAACTCCTCTACAAGGACACACTAAGTATTCCCCCCTCACTTCTGCCTTACTACCATAGGGTCTAGTAGAGTCAACCCTGCTCAACCTCCACAGCTCTTCCCGCATCTCCACACTACGTCGTTGTTCCTAGAGTCAAGCCTATGCCTCATACCACTCCTTTGGAAAATTACCAACAACCGCTTAGCTGCCTCTGGAGTGAGCAGAGCCGGCACTACAGGGGTGACACCATCTAGACCAGCCATAAGACTGTATACTAACATCGATGATGAAGACGATCAATTCACAAACACAACAAGAGGGTAAATGAAGCCACATCACTTCACCGTGTGCGAGTCCACGGCTGCCAGCTGCTGATCGTCCAAATACTTGGCGTATTTCTCATACAATTCTGGATGCTCTTCCTTCAACTGCACATGCCCAAGACTAACACCATCAGGCCCATATGATCCCTACCTTAGGGTAAAGACTAGCCCAAGGGTCCACAACCATATCCTCCTGTACGAATCGTTCAATCGGGAGATCCCTCATAGAGTCAACGTCGTTCCACCTCTTCCCTCCCCCCTTGCCTAAGGCAGTACGCGACGAAAGTAGACACATAGTCAACAATTGTGATGTCGAAAAATATTTTCCATAAATTTCTCGTCGGGTTCTGTGCACTTTTACACAGAATCGTATGTGAATATTTACTACCAGTGAGAGGCAGCGGCAAAAGCTGAATATATACCCCAACATCGCTCTGTACAGTCTTCTCACCTTTGTAACCTCCCTTGCGGTATCCTCCTTTCTGTTGTTGTTGCCAACCCCAACCACCCGAGCCCTTGCCGCTCATACTGTACTGGTCATTACCCCACCTAGTGAGGAAGATACATCTTAGATGAGATCAATGATTATTACCTCTGATGAGCATATGGTCTCGGCTCGGTCGCCGGTTGGTGCTGCTGCTGCCAATAGTCTCCACCGCCTTTTCGATACATAGGTAATCAAACTACGATGGACTCAAAATAGACTCAGAGGATACCAGCGATTCCCATCGTCGCCTATCTCGGGCCGATGACGGTAATGGGAGCAAATCGTCATACGATCATCATCATCACCCTTGAGAGCCAACTATGACATTGTATTTGTTAGTTGAGATTTCTACGTCTTTTCAACACCTATTTGAAATTAGTAATTTCAATTAGAACGAATGACCCAACTAAAAGTTAAGATCCTCGTTTGATTTGGATGAAGTTAAGAAACTCCAAGGATACTATCATTTCGAAACTCAAGTGAGGACAATTTCATATTTAAGAACTTCAGTTAGAACACATGCTTCTCAGCTCAGCAAGGGAGACCAACCCCTGATTATAAGTTCCCCTCGATGGAGCCGCACATAGCATGACAGGACATACTATTTATATTCGGCTCGAGCAACTTGACCAAGTCATGAGTGTTTTTACTAGTGTTATTAGTGGAAGAGTACTCAACAAGAAGTCCTCAAGTTTCACACTATGAAAACGCCAATGGTAAGGAAGAGTACTGGTGTTTACTCTGGAGAAATTGCCGTAGACGTGGAGCGAAGTTTGGACAACTTTTACTATCAATCGGTGAACCTGTAATCATCACTTAATCGAATATCATCAATTCCCTAACCCCCTCTCACCTATCTCGTACATGGGATTCATCACCGCGAGCTCAACGAAGAAATCAGTGTATATAGCGGCCATAACGTCCTGCATGTCCTCCACTGTGGGGTCGGTAGTCATGATGAACATATACCTGTCCCCATTGTGGAAAAATATGTACATCGTCTACTACATGTTACAACATTTTGAAAATTTTGACAATTTTTTTGGTTTACGTACATTTCCACTCGAATTCGTATGTAAACTTCTATAATCAGTGAGGAAGTTCCTGAGCTCAGGTGAAGATATATTATTCCAACACCGCCTATACCTTCACAACAACAATTCAGAGACCATCCACTCACCCTGTCCGAGACTCGCAGTGGTGTACTTTGTACTCCGGAGTAGAAAACCTGAACAGCTATCGAAATCGATCTGAATATTTCCTCCCGATCGACCTACGTGTTGAAGCCTTCTGGTCCAGCGCCGGCCTTGAGTGGGCTCATGGCCTGACCGAAGGACTTCATAGTTGCTATCAAACCCCATAGGAGCCGTTGCTCATGCTGAGGGGAATAATGCAGGGAAGATGGGCAGCAGCAGATGAGAGTACCTGTGCATTCTGCGCAGGTCTACTGCGATGATAGGCTTCGTAGTAGACGACTTTACCAGATGGTGCGAATATATAGAAAGTGTATATCATCACTAAAGACGAGAAAGAGCTGCCTCTACTTGGACGGATGTGTTAACACAAGGTATCGACAAGGAAACCCTCAATATTTAACATCAGATATATCACAACGTTACACGAGATACAAAATGAGCGGTATGGAGTCATACCACACCAATCACAACTCCTATGAGTCTGCCTACATCATTGTCGTTGACCTGGAGCATATAAAGGAGCCCACCGATGACCTTCCACTAAAGAGGCAAGTCTGGCACAACCAAAGGGGAATATAATGTTGTTAACGTATACGTAGTGTGCTAAGCCTCACCTCCACGGTGGAGGTAACGGAGTTGATGATGTAACGACAACTTGTTGTCGAACAACAGACTGATTATGATGAAGATATTCCACTTTTGAATTGACGGAAGATCCCAGGAGCACAGGCGGCCCCCAGACCTCTTCCGTATCTTACCAAGGAGGACCTCTTCCGTATCTTACCGAGGAGGACCTCTTCCGTATCTTGCCGAGGAGGACCTCTTCCGTATCTTACCGAGGAGGACCTCTTCCGTATCTTACCGGTATGAACCTAATTCATATCCCTCCCGATATTCCAAACTCTGGCAAGGGAGGCCCGAGTGTGGCCGAGCCTGGAGAGTATGTGGAAAGCCACGAGCTAGATACAAGAGCAATTCGATTTATGCAACCGGCACAGCTACAAATAAATTATATCGCATAATGATTTGGATGGTGATGCAATTAAGATGAAGGAATGCTGATCATGATTGGTGAAGGAGCGTCGGTGTTAAGGCCTAGGTTACCACGCCCGCCCGAGATCCTCGAACTGATATGCAGCAAGAAACTGATACGTAAGAAGTTGACACCGTAATGCTCGAAAGGATCGAGTACGAGATCTTGCGCTACTTGCTTGCACTTGCATTTCCTCAACGCTTTCGCAACAACGATACTCGTAAAGTAGTATAAGTTTTGGTTTCTACTCAGCCATACTACCTCGACGTCGGATTATATCGGTTTTGATGTCCGCAGAGTCGACTGGAAAGAACTTCATTCAAACTGCTGTTGATCAGGACCTGGCTCCTGGAGGAAGGTATCTTAGTTCCGGGTAGTAAGATACAGAATAGGTCCGATTAGGTGCCATGGCAAAAGATCGTTACTCGATTCCCACCCGAGCCCAACGGATATCTCCATATTGGACACGCTAAGAGCATTTGTCTCAACTTCGGCTTGGCCAAGCAGTACGGCGGCTCCTGCCACTTGAGGTATCTTAGGTTACTCTTAGTAAGATGCAAATTAGGTTCGATTCAGGTTCGATGATACCAACCCTAGTGCGGAAAGTGACGAGTATGTGAGGAGCATTCAGGAGGATGTCAAATGGTTAGGGTAATGTCCCCTCCAGGGATCGAACCTCCGCGGATTTCACCCTGTAGGTTCGACTGGGACGACAACCTCTTCTTCGCATCGTCCTATTTCGACCAACTGTAGCATCCTCCTCAGTGCCTCCCCTCCTATCCACTTCTTCAGTTACGAATGGGCCGAATACCTCATCAATAGAGGAGAGGCTTATGTCGACCTCCAAACCCCCGAACAGATCAGAATCAATCGCGGCAATATCAACACTCCCGGCACAAACTCTCCTTATCGGGACCAGACTCCCGAGGAGAACCTCCGACTCTTTCGAGACATGCGTGATGGCAAATTCAAGGAAGGAGAAGCTCTCCTGCGAGCCAAGATCGATATGGCCTCCCCTAACATGAACATGCGGGACCCCCCTATGTACAGGATCCTACATAAGGAACACCATAGAACTGGAAACAAGTGGTGTATCTACCCCCTTTACGATTTCGCCCACGGCCAAGAGGATGCCATAGAGCATATTACTCATTCTATCTGCACGCTGGAGTTTGAAAACCATAGGGAACTTTACGACTGGTGAGTAGCCGGTCTCTGTAGAGGAGTACCTCTTTCTGGGGTAGGTTTCTGGCTCATCTACCTGTACCGTCGAGACCCCACCAGTACGAGTTCGCCAGGCTGCAGGTTACCAACACTATAATGAGCAAAAGAAAACTGCTAAAGTTGGTCAACTCACGTAACTGGAGGGAACGAGGACGGTTATTATGTTCATCTTAGTTGTATTTCAGATTCCGTACGAGGTTGGGACGACCCAAGGATGCCCACCATTTCCGGTATGCGGCGACGAGGAGTAACTCCAAAGGCCCTCCGAACCTTCTGCCAGAAGGTTGGCATCTCTACTAGTCTGAGTACTATTGATAGCGTGTTACTAGATGAATGCATTAGGGAGGATCTTGAGGTCAGTTGAGGAGCGGAATAAAATGAGAGGAATTATATAAATCTTCCCAGGCCAATTCGAATCGTAGGATGTGTGTGGTGGACCCTGTCAAGGTGTACATCGAGACTATGCCCGATGATGAGGTGGGTTTTCTTACTAGTTTCCGTATTGGGTTCATCTACCTCCCTGTAGCGAATCGAAGTAGAAGCTCCCAACCACCCTGGAATGCCGGAGGCTGGTAATATGATCACGACTCGGTTTTGATGTTGGCTACATATCCTGATGCGCACAGCGAAGATTTTCATATTGGTATCTTTCAGGATCTCGCAAGTTGTATTTGCGGAATCATCTCGTGATTGAGTCAACTGATTTCCGTATAGATCCCCCTGAGGGGTTCAAGAGGCTTTCTCTGGGTGGAAAGGTAGTGTGCACACTGGAGCCGCCACCGTCACCGCGCCACGAAATTATCAGGTCAAACTGCGTTACGGTTATGTGATTAAGGCTGAGCGGGTTACTCCTGAAGGTGTTGTCGTCTGCAGTCACGACCCTCAGTCGCTTCATGGGGAGGGAAGCCTTCCTAAAGATGTCAAGGGGGTTATTCATTGGGTAATAGCATGGCGGCTAGTACGGGGTCATACCACTCCTTTTTCACATCGTAGGCGGTGGACGCAGAGGAGACCAACGAGGATGTAGTTCGAGGCACAGTGAACTGGTATGAGAATCTCTTGTTACCAGAATCGACCCCGACTGGTGAGTATTTTTGTGGCGCGCGGTCAAATCTAATAGGCATTTTAGATGAGGGTGCAACTTCGGAGGAGGAGGCCTCTATGATACCCGGCCTAGCAGAAGCGGAAACCAATGAGGCTGATCAGGATGGTGATAGCCAAGATCACTTTGGCAATTTTTGTATCAGTTTTTCTCAGCATGGTTATCCAAGTTGAACCCTAACAGTCTCCGAGAGTATAAGGCTTACTTCGAACCTAGCATGGCCATGGCTAAGGTATGCAGCCGTTTAGTGATTCTATCGCTGATCACCTATTCCAGCCAATGGAAACTTTCCAATTCGAGCGAGTTGGCTATTTCGTGGTTGACAAGGACACCACGCCTGGTCAGCTTATTTGTAACTTGACGGTTACTTTGAAGGAGAGCGGCCTCAAGAAAACCGAGGGCAAACACGCTGGGTAAGAGGTGGAGCATTGGTTCAGCCGTCGACTCATTTGGGTTTCTTAGTCGTTCTCGTAAGGAGGCTCAAGCGGCCCAGCTAGCTGAGAAGGAGGCTAAGAAAAAGATCAGGCCTGAGGATATGTTTAAAGGTTCGTACCACACTTCCGCCATTTCTGGGGTACAAGTAGCCGTCTCAGATCAAACTGATAAGTACTCCAAGTTCGACGAGCATGGTATCCCTACGCACGATGCGGGTGGGGAGAAGCTCACTAAAAGCGCTTATAAGAAGCTTCACAAGGAATGGGAGAAGCAGAGGCGTTTGTAATAAGACTCTCATCATAGTCGTTGAGGGTGTTCTTGGTAGGTATGAGAGTAGCCATTGAACTCCCCGATGTATACTGGGTGTCCCTTCCATTTACCAACAAGTGTTTCTACGTGCCTATCTCACGTGTTGTGGTTGAGGTATAATTCGACGGAATTATGGTCGTAAATTCCGATTTTTATGGATGTGATTGTAGAATATGGAAAGCTTTTGGTAATGGCTTCGCCGAGATTGATACCTGAATACTTGTACCGGATGTCTCGTAAAGTTGAGGAGTTTGGATCAGGAGACCAGGTCCACCCTGCAGGAGATGATGTAGTAGCGATACTGTGCTGAGGGAAGGGCGCAAGGGAAGATACGGTTAACAGAGAAAGCGACCAGCAGACACAGGCGGAGTTGGTCGATGAAATTAAGACTGCTTATCCTGAGATTGACCTTTTAGAGGTCGAGGAGGAGGAGGGATGAACCTCTCGGAGTTCCCACGACTTCTTCTTGGTGGAATTAGGACACGTATGGACAGTGGATTGATAGTATTGTGTTAAGGGGGAAAATGCTATAACTTGAATCCTCTTTTAGAGTAGTAGTTTAAGTGATAGTTACAATGCCGGCTCGAGTACGCATGCCTGCCAACAACTATATGTCGACCAGCGCTACGCTGCAGACACACGGCATTTGGGTAATGACAATGGGCGGTGGGTAACTCCTGATGGTCCTTGTTATTAGAAACATACAATCAAATATGATCCACACGCTTCGGAGGAAGAGCGACGGAAGGAGCTGAGTCGGGAAGAGGATCTCAAGCACGGCGACGACTATAATGCTCAGGCTAGGTAGTAGTAGTGGGAGGACCTCCTTCTCGTTGTGATAGTTGCCTTATTTTAGTATCCTGTATCGATTCTTAAACTCTGCATTCTCGCGTACAATTTTCGTCTTAAGTTCAATTAGCCTTCGAATGAATTATATCTCGTTCAGCGTGCAATGGCTGGTATACTACGATTTCATATAACTTCTTTATGAGATCGATCAATGCCTCTGCAGATCATTATTTCAATTGGCAGCTTCCCAGATGGAGGGTCGTGGAGGTCATCAGCCAGGCTACACCCCAGGAGCATGCAAACACTGTGGACAAGGTATGCCCACGGAGAGCTCCTCGATTCGATCAATCCTTTTTAGTTGGGCATTTGGCTAAGCAGTGTATGAATTTGATCGACATTGACGATTTGGACAACCCAAATCCGAAGAAGAGTCAATCGTCCATGCCCGTGATGGCCTCGCCACCGGTGAACGTCGTGAAGGACTCCTCAGACAGTGATGAGGACTCTGATGACAGTGAAGATGATAAGAAGAAAAAGAAGAGAAGACATCATCATCACCACCACCGTCATCATCATAAAAGGCGCGATGAAAGTAGTTATTTTAACCTTGATGTCAGTGAGGAGTGTCGTCGTGTGGTCAGGTCGATCGAGGTCCCGTTCGAGAGACCGGCGAGAGAAGGAGCGGAAGTCATCTCGAAGGTCTCATAGATCTCGTCGATCACGTAGTAGTTAAGGGTATATTGATCTAACGACTTGGGTTGGTATTATAATTAAAGGGTAGAATATCAATCGTTTGGGGGAGTCACTGACAGGACCAAATATTGACGCCATCGGTGGAACTACGCAGACCGTCTGGGGGCAACAGACATTGTTCATGCAGGTTACTCGTTGATGTTCAACAGCGCTCGTGTGTAGAGAACTGACTTTGTCATCAACACTTTCACTCCAGTAGGGACTTGTTTAGGACAATCTCTCGTGACCGTCGGTGGGTTACATTTTATTACTTGTTCGGTCTTGAATTGACAAGACAACCCACGTAGACTCTCTCATGAATTAATCGGCCAGAAATTTTTTATAATAAACAAGAAATCCAAACGTCGCATAAAATAGGCATCTTGGATTCGATGATAAAGACTGGAGATTGCGGTTACGCTTTGATCGCCAGCAGCTCGCACAATACCGAACCCTTCGCAAAACCGGAACACCTACTACCTTGAGATTATCCCAAGGATGGGTTAAGGAACGTCTCACGTCACTAGCGAACTCCACACTGTCTCAACTCGACGACCGACCTTCGAAATGATATATGTGAACCTATATCTTCAAGATCCCTTCTTGCAACGAGGCTACTGAGTACGCCCTGTAGTTGAACACACTGCAAGTGCATTAAAGCTCGTACTCGTCCACCTGGACTATCCATCTTACTAATACAAATCGCAGTCCGCATAGAAGACAAGAAAATTGACATTCTAAGAGAGATGGCAACAACTACCACGTTTATGACCTTTAAAACGATTGAGTGCGTTGCTCATCACGTGAGTTAGATTTCAATGTTATCAATGAATCCAGTTCGCTACGTAGGTGTATGACAGGAATCCCGATACGATATCCCCGCATTCAACAACCCAAGATTGAACTGAACTGGAGAATGATCGCAAAATATCTCAGGTGATATTTGAAGGAATAGAACAGTACATGGAGTCTCACTGTCGACAATAGTACTGTAAAATAGGAAGAGAGAACTCCGTCAAACTCCCATTTTTCTTCAGTCGAGACCACGCCTCGCCAACAGAAACGATATCGTGGGAAGCAAACTCGGCGGCGACATGAGAAGTCGATGAAGAGACGAAGGAAATACACCAGACTCGACGGCACACAGAAATTCGACTTGGATAAAAACAAAGGATATCTCTCCTCGCGGGGGATAGTACAAAAACGACGAGTTGCGTATACAACAGCTCCTCATCACGTCATTGCGGGTAATTCTCCACGACATGTCGGGCACTCCATTTTGACCTGCATAACCGCTCATCGTCGCTAACAATAAAAGGAGCGACAACTGCTTACATCCATCCACTGCTCAAGACAACCAGCGTGGAATATATGATCACATGGAGTGATGACAGGCCGCAACTCAGGATCATGTGTCTCTGACAGGTCGATATCGTTCATGCAAATGACCTGAACAAGAAGGACTCCATCATCACGCGCGTCACGAGGTCGTACGCATTCCGGAGCCCCGAGCTCCTCATCCTGCACGGGCGGGACCGCTCTGTAGTAGTTGTAGACATGCGGTAGGCAGATCCAAGGGACCTGACGATGATGCACTAAGAAATGCTTACAGCCCAACTGTGACTTACGAATGACCTCGGGCCAAATCTGGCCTGAGCCCACAGTATAGCAACTTGGGCTACTTGCAAACACACTATGAGTGTGGCTTCTGCCGTGCTCGGTGCTGATGCTAATGCTGGGTACACCTAAATAGGGTAGTGATGCATAAGCGATAGTATTCCCTGTGTGAACTATTCCAATACGAGGAGCGACTACGAGCGGATCGAGCTAGAAAAAGCATGGAAACGTGAATACATATCTCCGCAATGTCCAACAAACATGTGGTGCTTTCATTAAACTATACGCTTTTCGAGGTTGACGAATTAGTATTTTATTTTCAGCCATACTCAATATCATCTTTAGTCAGCAAATACAGTCTCCACAGGGAAGCCTCAACGGCGTTGATCGCAACGGGTTGAGCTCGATACCAGAATATGCACAGCTATTAAGTTGAAGACACCATATCCAGATGGGTCCGTAGTCCTTGAGTCGAATTTTGAAGACACCAACATTAGCTCATCACTTCACATTTTGCCTCCCCCGTTATGACCTCGCCATTGAAGATAGTGTATGGACAGGCCAGAGCATACAATGGGACTATCATCCTTGTTATAGAGATGCCCACTATAAACCGCCATAGTAACGGTTTCTTATGCCCTCGCACTATATTATACACGATCTGAGGCACCTGCACCACAAGGACATAGACACTTCGACACAGACAAAGAACAGTACCCAGTAACACTGCATGATGATAATGAGGACATTTAAGTACTCATAGAAGTTATACAGAATTACCATGCCAACCAACAGAGCGCCTAGAAATCAAATACTGCGAACATTATAACAAACAGGTGGAATACCGTAAAAGCGAGAATACAGCCAGCTGAGTTCTCGGCGAATCGACTCCATCCCTCCCTCGTTGAACTGATTCTGTCGACGACTACGCCAAATAAGTAGAAGATACCGCACCTGGGAGGACGAGCTGTTCGGGCGCATACATTCATTGTTCACCTCTAACATGCTGAACAGAATGAACTTGAACAAAGCGACAACTGAGAAAGTGTTGAACATGAATCTGCAAGAGATGATGCCCCCAAGAGACAAGCACTGTGACTAAGCCTTACTGAGCCGATAGTCCCATAAATAGATGTATAAGGGAGTCATAGGCATCCATCAGCGCTTGGATACCAATACATAACAACGACACCTAGTCAGTTCGATTCGACGGACGTATTGTGTAGATATGCTTACTTTAGCGTGACCATTGTTGTTTTCCCCGTGCTGCATTTGCAACAGGAAAAAACGTATTTGCAATATAGTTATGATCTGAATGATGAATCGTCCGATCCCTTTCCGCGACGAGCCCATCTTACATTATTCAGAATAGAGTAGTTGATGACCTTTCGGCCCAGCCTTTTCACATCGATCTCCCGCAAAGTCATACTGAAAGCAATATACCGTGTAAGAACCGTTGAGCCGTGCGAATTCGGAAAGGAGTGGTAAACTCAGATTTGACGGTTACTATGGACATCATGACACTTAGTGATCTTCCACAATGAATTTGGAAAGGTGTGGTACTCCATGGATTGACGAGTAACAATAATGCCTCCTGTACGAACCCAGAAGGGTTAGTTCCCGACGCTGACTTATCCCGTGTAAAGGGGAATACTACTTCCATCATCGCTCCTCAAAACAGAAGACGGAATCACAATACGATATCCTATTCAAGCATCTTTCACGTTCGGACGACAACGGCGACGACGCCGAATTAGTCTCATGCCGTTTGATCGTTCGACTTCCGCTTGAACGCATGAGGCGCCCACATAAGCTGTCACCAACAATGATTTACTCCCAACTATGAATTTCGCTGACGTGAATCTTCAGGAGAGTCTCCCCCAATACTACCTGATTTTAAATCCACAGTTTTCACTTACAACCGTTCCCACGGCAATTTTCTTGCCGTCCAGCGATAGAGTTTCTCCGTTGTTTGCATCCTCCCTCGATGGTGTACGTATCTTCAACAAAATTCCAGTAAACTATGATTGATACCACCCCTCACTGAAGATAGTCTACTAAATACGATAACGCTCTATACAACACCATTGCAATCAACTGAGCCTCGAGACTCGACCAAACCAAACAATGGTCTTACTATGATCCTAGCCGGACCAATCTCGCACACCGGTTTGGTAAGCCCAGCCAAGCGGAACCTAGATAGGTCTGAGCGACCTGATAATATGACCTCTTCCTCTACACCTGAATACACGCTTATGGTCAGTTTATGAGGGGTTTGCATCATTACCACCCAAGCTGTTAATGGCTAACATGTTGTTCTGAAAACCAATGGCAGGGGAGAGCTGCAACTCGTGCCACTCATCGTCGTGTTCAAAACGGAGGAGAACTTCCGATAGGGACATCTACGAAGTGGCAAAGTTACGGTATGGGCAGTTATACGTTAAATTACCATCTTCATTCCAGCTCCTTTAGAAATCATATGCAGCTTCACCTCGCCCTCGACAGTCGGCACTCCATCGGCAACAGGTGACTGCAGAGAAGATTCGAGAAAAGTGTGGTACGGGAACATCCTCACATCATTCAAAGGCGTCATAGTGTACACTCCTCGATAAATCGAGCTGGGCTTCCCTACATTGCTACTGTCTAGAGCGGCTAAATATGATAATAACAAAACCATACGAGGAGAACCTCATCTACCAGCAAAGTTAAGACCGTCTCGATGGTCTGTTGAAGAAGCTTCTGAGTCGAGCATAAGCCAGAAACCAATGAGTAGTATGACTCCCAATAATACATTACTCCTAAGATCATCATCGTCGACAAGGAGAGACCTTCAACGTTATTACCATCGCCAATGGTTGGTAGTAACTAAGCCTTGTTGGTTCCATACCGTTCTTGCTGATGATGACGATGAACCGAGGCTTAAAAGAGGCATTTATGCAGACTGTATGAGGCAATGGTAGTGGCCGCCGCCGCCGACCTGATCTGTCCCAAGGCGTGCGCGGGTGTTGGACTATGTAGCGCTCGCCACAGGTAACGGCTTCACGCGAGTCCGGTGATCATATCTTGCACTGGAGGTAAGCTGTGTTGATGATTATGCTGGACTGAGTTGGAACCTAGATCAGTCGCTTGTATGGTGGGGGATCTGGGGAGAAAACCCCTAGACACTGCATAAGACTTGCAGTTGGTCACCTTCAGACACTGCATAAGACTTGCAGTTGGTCACCTTCAGACACTGCATTAGACTTGCAGTTGGTCACCTTCAGACACTGCATAAGACTTGCAGTTGGTCACCTTCAGACACTGCATGAGGCTTGCAGTTGGTCACCTTCAGACACTGCATGAGGCTTGCAGTTGGTCACCTTCAGACACTGCATGAGGCTTGCAGTTGGTCACCTTCAGACACTGCATGAGGCTTGCAGTCAGCGACGATCTCAGTAGATCTAATATCGGCTTAGTAATTATCTCGGGGTTGTGTTTGCAGTCAGTCAATTTCATCCCTCGAAAGGAATCGAGTATTTTATTTTTGGTCAACTGGTGCATCACCAGTCTCCTCCTCCTCCTTTGTGTTCGTGCAGGGGGTCCGTCATCCGTTGTGCGAGGGATTTCAGGTCCAGCAGTTTCACAGCCAACCCTCAATCATTCCCGCAACCGATCGGGTCTCGATATTCTCTAAGTCCACGCTAATCTTTTGAAGGATCCTCCAGCTACTATAATTGTGAATATCAAAGGCCTGTTTCAGGAGTTGAACGGATTTACTCACAATAGTGTTTCTAAGGAGGTCTTCGCTGCTTACCCACAATCGGCTTCACACGCGGATACTCCCCATCATATCGAGTGAGCCCATGCATTGGAATCGACGTGTTTATAGTAGTAGACTTGCCACATGTTCTCAAACTCCTCCTCATCACCATTCTTCGGACATGGGTTGTATGATGGAGGCCAATACGGCATGATCAGTGCTCGCACTCAGCCGTAAGTATACTGCTAGTAACACTGAAGTGGTTTGTATTGGTTGAGACTTTTATGTGTAGGAAATTACTAAGATTAGGTTTCAAAGAGAGCTGGAGGAGGCGAGAATGGAGAACACTAGGTTGAATAGACTCTTGCAGGAGTGTGAACAGGAAATGGTCCAAATGAACAACCAAAGACTGCGAGAACTAGAAGTTGGCAAAGTTGACAGGAATGCGAATGCACAGTTTCGTACAGGACATGAAACTGAGGCATGGTATCGAGATAAGGGAACTGGCTCAGGAGAAGGATACACTTCTGGCGCAAATCGAGGCCACTCGCCGAACCAATGATGATGATGGCAAACACCTTCGAATGGAAATACGGTTGGTCAGGAACTTTACCTCCTCGAGTAGATATTGGAAAATAGGGAACGGCAAGAAGAGATAGACAGACTGCAAGCAGAAATGCAAGAGCTCGTTGATGAGAACACTCTCTTGAGGGCCAAAGTGGGCACTCACACCAGCTAGCTCCGGATCGTGGGTCATGGTCACAGACCGATGAGAATAACAGTCTGGGTGCAGCCAAGAGTAAGGTCAGCTCCCGGTACTCTGAAGATGACCTCGTGAGAGTGGAGGAGTTGGAGGCAGCGCTGGAAGGAGCACGAGAGGAGGTGGAGTTGGCTGAATACCTGTGGACCTCGGGGTATACTCAGTTTACAAGGATACATTATGGAACTCGCAAACAGCTTAGTGTAGGAGTTTATAAAAACTTCCTCAAAATCTTCCCCGCTGTCCTCGACACATGTAGCTCGCCGTGTGCATAATGAAGGCCTTCTGTTCTGGCTATCAACTCTAGTCGTAGAGATATCTACTATCCGTATAAATGTCTACCATAATATTGTCTATATCGTATTGTCGGATTGAATCCAGATACTCAATTTACGTGAAAAGAATGAGATGCTTGAGGATGTCCTCGAAGAGAAGAACGTACAGATCGTTGCCCTCACTAAATTCGAACGAGAGTAGGACAGTATTGCTCTATGCTTCGCCGACTGTGGATTATATTAAAGCTTAGTCTCAATTTCTACCACCTAGATTCAACTCAATACCCTCCATCACGAGTTAGGATTCATACCGCGTACGCAGGCTTAATCTGATATGGCCAGTCGAAACTGCAAGTAGCTCATTATGGATTTTCATTCGTATAGTTATCATCCCCGCAACGGATAAGATTTCTTAGATCAACAGAGGGAAGTAGAAACAATTATTCGTCATCTTCAGAGTGGACGCCCAGATAAGGCAGCATTTGGCTGAGCGTGATGAGAAGTTATCCGAGTTAGAACTCCATAACACTATGCTATGTGGGAAGCTAGCTGTACTCGAGGAGGAGGTGAGTAGACCAATCGTACCCCTTGCCTAACCAATGCCACCAGAGACATGCTGGCGGGGCCACCAATGAACTGAAGATGCTCTTGAGGGAGCGTGAGATGGAAATTGAAGCACTAGGTACTTCCCGTGCGCCAAATCTATCAGCGTGGTACGTACACGTACAGAACTATCATTCTTAGAATCCCAGCTTCGCTCCGCGATATCTATCAACGCCACGAGCCATAAGGATACGACGAATGTGGTTTATGTTGATGGATCGCACTCAACAGCGGGTAGGTCACAAGAGAAGTGTACATGATTCGTATCTTCCTCGTTGTGTCCTAAGATACTCATGCTGCAATCAAAGGCTTACAGACGGAGCTGCAGAACAGAGATGATGAACTTATTCGTCTGCAAAGGAAGGCACTTGGCGACGTGTCGATCGATAGGAAGTGTCCTCTATTGCAGGTGGACGAATTCGCAAGGGGTTTCTCATCACCTGATGCCCTCAAGAAGATAGACGAGCTTGAGAGGTCCCTGCGTGAGAAGGAAAGGTGACGACTCATAGGCTCGCCCGAGTGTAGGATGCCATCAGAAACCTCACAGCATCGCGTGTCGAGCTGAGTACATATTTGTCTGAAGTTGAGGACATATTGCAAGAGAATCGCTATTTACGCCAAGTCGCGGAAGTCCCTCTGGACAAGCTTATTGATTTGACTGGTACATGCCGGTTGAATGTGGTGTGTCCATGTAGTTGTTGATGTTGTAGATATGAAGATCGCTGAGCGTTTGAGCTGCTCTCGGGCGATTGCACAACTTAGGGTACTCGAACAGAGAGAACTTGAATGGGATCATGAGAGGGTTAAGCTACGCAGGAAAGTATGATTGACTAGTAGGAGTCGGCGAAAATGTGGTATGCAGATACTTGAGCTCTCACAGATGGTCGCAGAGAAAGGTGTTATGTGCCATGGCTTAGACGCTGATAAGCTCATCTATCTACAGGAAGTGATCTCGACGGGACTTTCCAGGGCCCACAAGCCCTCTTAATTGATATTTCCTTTATACATCGTACTGTCCACAATCGTTTTTACAGTTCGCGAAGTCCCTCCGTGAAGGGTCCATTCTCCCACCGCGGGATGACTCCCATCCTATTGACCACAGTATGCTCTATGAAGAAGAGATTAGTAAATTGAAGTCTGAGGTGGCGTCTTTACTCGTGTGTTATTACTATCATTATCTATCTCAGTAGGTGTTGAGGCTTCAACAGCGCCTGGCTCGCTGTGATGAAGTTCCTAAGCTCACTACAGAAGCCAAAGAATGGAATCCATCTGCTATTGACTCAATCTCGGCCGCTGTGGGTTAACCTGGTCCTTGCTATTGCTTATCTACAAACTTTTTGAACTATCTGAATTTTCATAGAATGATTCGTAGTATCGGCTCTTAGTAGCCATTCATGCACGCCGCGCAGATTCGATTCCCATACACCGCGTCTTCCCACTACGTAGTTCTCACTGACTAAATAGAAGACTCGTGTGATTCATACGATATGAGCTCCTATTTGTGCGAGTGATAGATGCTTTTTGGACAGGTTGAGGCAAAATTAGAGAAATTCTTCAGCAGACATGAACTGTCCCGAGATACACGAACGCACAATGGCAACTCGAGGGATTCTGTATCGTCACCTAAGCACACTCAGGAAGCCTTCTCAACGGCACGGGTGATCAACCCTAGTGGCAAGCAGGTCGGCATCGATGTGATTCTGATGTATCGATCGAGACCAATGAATGATTCGGGACTTGCTCAGACGAATTCAGAGGTGGTGGATGAGGAAGCAAGGGAGCTCTATGACGGATCTGTTGAGCTGCAAGAGGGACTGCTGCTGCCGCCTACAACTTTCCCACCAATCAGAGGTCTACCACAAATACTCTACAGTCACGTGTTGCAGCACGCTGTACTTCCACCCACTACGAGTGAGAGAAGAAGTAGCGATCGTGGAGGTCAATAGTTCGCCGTCTATAGGCATATTGAAAGGGAAATCACCTGCTACAGTCACAGCAGTACTCTATACTTTGCTGTTGGAAGCTCTCGAGGACAACAAGCATCTTCGTATGGTGAACGACAAGTAAAGAGAATATCATCCCTGCAAATCCGACTGACAGAATTGGCTTGACAGATTCAGCGATGAGATAGCACAAATAGTGCAGGCCCAGCAGAATCGCATAGCCAGCCTTGCCGTTATCAAAGAGGAACATGCCTTGTTGGTGAGCTGCCGGTTCCCTGTGCGTTGGCCGTTGATCAAGCTGTGGTAAGGCTGTGAATCATGAAAACTTAAAGGAAGAGTCCAGTCGGATGATGAGGTATAAGGAAGAGAAGATTGAGACGATGCAACGCGAGGTTAGTTGGCTCAAGGAGAAGTGTGCACTGATGGACAAGGGGGTTACTGAACATGGTAAGGGGACATGGAGGCAGACCCGAACACGCTGTTCAATAATCCTATCATTGACAAGAACAATGGCATTCACACTATAGAAACAGACTATTCTACACATGTTATGAGGGAAATTTTATTGTTCGCACTGTGAGAAACAGCGTCGTTCACCTTGAAATGAAATACCGCATCGTCCTCATCGAAAGGGACAATACCATTTGAGCTGTAAGAAAACCAGTGCTCTTCATAAGTGTGGGAATGACCTGCAGTTCGTACTGTTAGAAAAGCAGTGCGATGAAGAGTAGAATCGCATGACTTATCCGATGAAAAGCCATCCTTGAATGAACTCACATCGTCCAATGATCAGATGGAAGCCTCAAAGCGAAGTATCTCGACGTATTGGAGCGCCTCACCAAAAGTGAAGCGAGAGAGAACACTCTTAGTAGGGCTCTGCAGACCAGTAGGATTGAAACCAAAACTCTGAGGTTAAGATTATCCTCATGTCACCTATGGACAATGTATTCTCTATAGGGAAATGGTCGATAGTATTGAACCTGAATGCACTGCTAGAGAATTCTTCCTCAAGGAAAGGATTGCTCAGCTGGAGAAGTTCAAATTGAAGGCGCATCACGCCATCACTGTCGCCACACGGAAACTCAAAGCTTGTAGGCCACGGGTAGAATAGCCATGAAGCCACGGGGTTGACTCATCGTGAATACGCTTGCGGGTTGCCTTAATCAGGCGTTCCGTCGCATGAGTATGCCAAAGTGAAGGGCGAGCTCTTCACTGTTAAAGCACGTCAAGGGGATTTAGAGGAGGAACTTGCAGGTTTACGCAGTCGCATACATCAGAATGAAACAGTGGTAGAACAGGAAGCCATATCCCAAACACGACGATTATTATGATGTCCCCCAATGCTCAGTGGGGTCTCTCCCTCTAGCATGATCGCTCTTTTCCGCCGCGTCAACATACAATCTCAGGCAGAGGAAGCCCGCGGGAGAATTCGAGACCTACTGGGGAGATTACAAGTGGACCAACCCTCTGAAGATGTCAAGCATGGCGCTGCTGAAAGGGAGCTCATTATCCTACGAAAGCATGTCGAAGGGGACAATGATATTATGGCGGAGTTGAAGTCACAAGTCAGTTTAATCTCCAAATTTTAGAGCCAGTCGTGATTTTCTCTGACTTCCTCGCTAGATCCACTACCTCGAAAGTCGCATAGTGACTATTGAGTCGACCCTAGAAAGTGAGCGAGCTGCCAGATGTGAGCTAGAAGCAACAGTCGAACTCTGTACGCATGGTCAAGCGTCGGTTATTAACCTCGCACACGTGGGTTCACTACTCTCACGAACATCCACAATATTTGAGTGGTAGATTGAACAGCGTGAGATGAAAGCAGAGGAGAAGATTGCGAAGGCGGAGGAATTGGCCTTGGAGCTGGAACACGCACGAGAAGTCTTGACAGTAGCTAGACGGCAAGCATCGGAAGCGAAGGCTGCCTCACTGAGACACATCATCGAGCTGAAGACTCTGAGGGAGACACTCAATGCTGTATGCGACTCGAGCCGATCAGGCGATCAACAGGTATAGTCGTCAGCTTGCTTATATGGGGTCAGTCGAACATAGGAGGACTCACGAGCAGAAAGTGGGGTGAAATTTAACCTTCGAGTCGGAGGCTTCGACGATTTAGGCTAGAATGATCTTTGAGGTTGATACACTTTTAGCCTGGCGGGAGCAGCAATACTATAGACTCCATGCCTACACCAGTCTAGCTGTTGTAATGGTGTCTGTAGTGATACATGAGGTAGGTATCATTGATCGCCCAATTACAACAGCGACTCATGACCTGGGTCTGGGAGTCGGATAAAGGTCACAGAATCTTGACATTGAACCAGGAAGTTAGTCGCCTGCGGAATGAGGTGAGTTACTCAAGGGCTTCATTTTCTCTCATCTCGATTCATCCTGACGAGACATGTGTTATCAAGCGTGGGACAGTATGCACATTCTCAACTAGATGTGTTGGTTACAATATGTAAATCCTGAGGGGATTTTGGAAATTTCTTATTGGTCTCTGTGAACTACTACCCTTATTCATGTGTAAGTCCTTAAGTCAGCCGGGGAAATCAGACATATATTCCAACATTGGTGTCATCAGTGTGAGAGACGTCGAACGTTCGTCTCCGCTTGTCGGTTGACAGTCAACGAAGACTTGACAGCCCCCACGTGTCGTCCTCATAGAATTGAATCCAGTGATCCATGAGATGAATGACTAGGTTATGCGTCTCCATAGCGAGAGGGAGACCCAGCTGGAGAGCTATTATGATGGGCTGTATCATCATCAGAAACCTGATCGGATCCAGGTCAGAC